CTGTGAGTGAGTCAGATGAGAGGGAGGAGATGGATTACTGAAATCATAAATATGTCAGGTATTTAGCACTATTCCATACTTCTATTTATCAGATGACTGCTTATTTTGGATGCTGGCCTGTTAGATAAATATGGCAAATCTTTTTAAACACATGTTCTGGTATGCATGGCTTTAAAGGCTAACATGTCATACCTGAGGCGCTGGTTATTAAGTATACAGCCAAAGATACAAGAGACCTATTGTTCATTACAAATCAGCAAGCAGTGGTAACTTGTGTTTTGAGAAGCCATCAGCTTTTAACATTGATTTGCCTGTCCAGTTGGTTGTAATATTTATCCCAACATACTAGTATTCAGGTGGGTGCATGAGGATGGCTGCATAGCATACAAATGCACACATAAGAAGGAGAGAGACATGTTCAGTCTTTTTGTCCAGTGCACTAATTGATTGCATTCAAAGAGGTTTCTTTGTGGCAGAATTTTTGAAAGATCCACCTCTGATTCTAGCAATCCAACGTCTAAATCAGTGATTCCCAACCTGTGATCCATGGACCACCAGTGGTCTGCAATAATGAAAATATGGTCCACAGCCTCACCATTACTACACTGTCGCCTCGAAACCATGCAGCAACTAGAGCAACTGGTCTCGCAAAACCCTCTTATAGTGCCGAGGCAATGGGGATGTCGGTGTTATATTTCAGAGTAGGATTCCATCTGACTCAACACCACACAGTTGAGTTAAAATAGCAAGCAGTTTATTGAAGATAGTAAAAGCCAAAGCAATAAAAAATAACCCACAGTAAAAAAAAAAAGGCAAATCCAATTGATTGGAAAGTTTAAAATGAGCAATAAATCCACAGAGAAAGAGTCCCAGAAAGTCCATTAAACCAGAGGCTTGATTTCAAAGGCAAAAGCAACAGCAAAGGCACTTAACCAGGAATCAAACAAATACCAAGGTCCAGGAACATGGCATGGAAGCTAGACTCTGTACTTGGCTAGACTCGTCTGAAGCTAGACTCTGTACTTGGTACTATATATCTACTTTGTTTCCCAAACAGCTAGGAACGGTTTGTTTCCTTAGCTTTGGTTTCTCTACTAGCTTCTGCTCTAATCTGTCTGAGCGCATTAGTTTCTGATTTCAAAAAAATCTCTACCAGCTAAAAGCTCTTCGTCTGTTCAAGGCTTCATTAAAATCTGCACCTGGAGATAACTGACCCTGGGACTGCAGCTCAGAGCTTCTCCCAGGCTCAAGACCTTGAGATTTACTTTGCAGCAACACAGGCCTGTCGAAGCCATCAACTGAACTGCATTCAGGCCCTACATCCCTAAAACTAGGCCCAGGAAACAGACCATAATCTCAATTCCCTTCAGGAACATCTTCATGAACAGCATCCCCATTCCCATCAGAGGAATCAACTTGAACATGAACAACATTGCCATTCCCATAATCCAAAGCAATCTGATCATTAGACACAATCACAGGCTGAACAGGCTGACGTACAACAGTCAGGAGGGAACAGGTTGACTACCCATGAAATATTATTACTACCACATCAGCTCTAGATTATTAAATATGGTTTTCTGTGAGTGAGCAGATGGTATACTGGATGGTATACATTCTATATCCTAAACTAGAGCTGATGTGGTCTATCCAATGCAATTCTCTTAATCAGCACACCAAATAATCAAACTGAATCTAAAATTAACCAAAAACTGATTTGTAATCCTTTGGGTACTAATGTTGGAGAGTGGCCCTGGTCAAAGTGGTCCCTGGTCAAGTAGTCATTGGTCAATAAAAGGTTGGGAACCACTGGTCTAAATAAATACTGCCACTCATTCACATCTTTTCAGTCTTACTGTAATAGTCCCTTTAACTGAAAAAGTCTTCGAGGTCCTCAAGTCAATAGAGGATACTCTCATTTAATGCAAAATATTTACAACAAGTTGGAATACAATATAAATGGATATTATCTCCCTCAATAGTTTCTTGGGATCTGATTCTGTCGTAAAAGGGATTGTCATGTGAACATGCTGACTCATATGGGTTGGGTATTAATGAAACCTCAGGAGAAGAAACAAATAGTAGGACTAGGTTCTTTCAGGATGAAATTACTCCCTGGGCCTGACATTTAGAGCTGTTATTTATCACCCTGGGAGTTCTGCTCATGGATATAGGTCATCAGATGGCTCCATTTATTGTAAATTTTTTGTTGCTGCTGTTTTCTTCCCTGCAGGATATCTAGCTATGCACTAACCCTGTCATGGGCACTTGATATGTAACTGTAATTCAGAACAATAACTGGCTCTTATGGCTTCTGAAAGTTCAATAATTAATCCAGCCTGTGTCCAAGCACGTAATAAACAAAAACCAGTTGTGTCATATATTAGCAATAACAAATTTCAGAGAAATGTACTGAAAATAGGATGTAGTTGAGATCACTAAAATGTTATGCACACACCAAGCTATGAGTTGTGCAGAAATCTTCATCAACCCTCCACAAATGATGAAAAAATAGAAGATAAAGATAACACAAAAAAACATAAAGCTGATTCAGTATGTTCAGCACTGCTTGTTCCAGTGTCAATACACAGAATACAACCTACCGAATCAAAAAGGTAGGTTCACTGAACTCAAATTCATCTAGATGGTAAATAGATTTATAACTGTACTCTCTTAATGAAGCCTGACATCTTATTGGGAAGAGTTCATATTTCCCCAAACTATTCTGAAATTATCCTCTGAAGATACTACATCCTATATCTTTTTAAATACCCGTAAAATATACAGAGACAGGAATCTGCTTTTTTTGCTGTAACCCACTAGCATAGTTACTCTTTGGGTATGACTATAATGGAATATACCTAAATATTTATTTCAGTGCAAAGGAAATGTGTGTTCAGAAATAGTCCTTATGAAAAAAATGTGTATGCATTTGCTGTTTTAGAACCTGTTTCCAGTTTAAAATATTTTATTTATTCTGGGCACTTGGCAGGGCCTGTTCATGTTATGTATCAAAAGTTGATGTGAAGAAAAAAAAATTAGGACTTCATCAGTTGGAGGTTCTCAAGGCAGGGCAAAGTGGGAGCATATGTGGGGCAGCGGGGCAAATCCAGAGGGTGCCAGAGAAAACCATTGCTCCACACTCCGCATCATCCACATTACCCCCTTCCCCAATAGGGGAAAGCACAGCCACCCGGCTTCCCCCCATGCTTTCTCCAGCTTGCCCTATGTTCTTAGGGCTCTATCATAAGATGCTGCCAGGAAGCTGGGAGGATGGAGCCCTACTGGAAGTAGCTATGTGTCGTCTGATGGGATCTGGCAGGGTCCATCCTCCCAACATCCTGGAAGCATCCTAGGACACTGAAAAAGTCAAATGTGATGAGGTCTTAGAAGAAGAAGGTTAATAAAATAATTAAATTTCCAAGAATGAATATTGCAATTATACTTTTAAGGTAACTCCTTTCCTCCTTTTAACAACAACAACAACAACAACAACAACAACTTTATTCTTATATACTGCCTCCATCTCCCTGAAGGGACTCAGGGTGGTTTACATAGGGACCAAGCCCAATATAAACAAAGGTTACAGAGTAACACAGTTAAAACATATAACAATAAACTATATTAAAATAATAAAACTAAGAAAATATAAGACATCATTAAATACAAACCAAGTAATAAACAACCAATAGCCGAGAAAAGTGGGTATTTAGTTTCCTAAAAGTAACCAGATGCTCTTAATTATATCTTGCTTATAATTATATAAAGCTTGCTCATGTGATCCTGCTCTATGAGGGAAGAGGCATTCTCAGCTATGGCACCAAATAGTGGAATGGCTTCCCTTTAGAGACCCAGCTGGTATATTTGCTGAATCCCATTCTGAGAGAACAGCAGGATATAAATCCAATAAATAATACATTCATTTGGATACAAAATAAAAATATGGCTGTTTTCTAAAGCTTCCCCACTTTACTGTTCATCTCAAAATGGTAATGCACAGTTTTGAAACACCTATAATGTTTTAAACCTGCTCTAACTAGTTGATTATATTTAATTTTTAGTTTAGATATTTTCATTATCTAATATATTTTTTTAAAAATTGTCCTGACATCATTTGATACAGAGAAGGCTAGAAATATTTGTCTATCTACCTGCATAGTTAATTTAGTCAATAACATCCATAAATCAGACTGCTACACATAACCTGTGGTATAAAATACACTTCAGCAATGAAGCAACCTAAAGTTATAATGTGGTGCTATAGATCTGTAAAAATGTTTCAGACATGAGGGTTAGACTACAAAGAGAACCCACTGAAATCCATCGGCATATGGACAATTTCATCAGAAAGGATGAAACCATGAAAGTGAACAAAATTTTGCTACCAGGATTTAAAAAAACTCTAGAATCAGGTCAATAAATAAAGAGCAACACTTTTTTAAAAAACCATGGGAATTGCAGACAAGAAACAATGAGGGCCACTTCCCAACAAAGGATTCCCCCAGGCAGGAAGCAGCCAAGCTTTGAAGCTGCAAGGATATTCAATGCTAATCAAGGTAGCCAATTGCATCATTCACACTTGCCTCAAACAGACATTCCACAGATATATAAAACTCACTTTCCTAGTTTCCAACAGACCTCACAACCTCTGAGTATGCCTGCCATAATGCGGGTAAAACGACAGGAGAGAATGCTTCTGGAACATGGTCATACAGCCTGGAAAACTCACAGCAACCCATTGATCCCAGCCATGAAAGCCTTTGACAACACACCACTATACTATTCATGAGTTAAAGCTGTATGTCTTTTAACCTGAGAATGAGAGAATCAGAACCATGGCCATAGGAGAATAGGACAGAACAGAAGCTAAAAAAACAAAATTTGAGCCTGGACACAGAGACAGCAGCTAAGCATAGACAGAGTTCAAAGTGTACCCAAAATATGCTTGTGGACAAAGTAATTTATATAGAAATTAATTTTACAAGGTGGTGTAAGTTTACCTGAGGTATAACTCCAAATGCTTTTCTCCACTGCTGCACAGGAACAGTGTTCCAGGAAACATTGTCAATTTGAATATCACCTTCGGTATTCAGGAGTCTCAAAAAAGCAAAGAGCAATGTACTTTTCCCTGAGCCAGTTCTTCCTAAAAGGCCCACCTGCAATATTTATAAACATAAATTAATGAAGAAACGGTTGCCCATAAATTAACCATATGCATGTTAGAAGTTAACAAAAGGGCAGTTCAGGGTAGAAGTGCATTGTGCTGAAATGGCATTGAAAATATAAATATTAATAGAAAGACTACAAAAGGCCATGACAAACTGTGATTATGTGAAGCGGTCATATAACTGTCCTCAGCTACCCAATAATATCATTTGTCATTTTTAACAGATATTTATTTATTTATATGATATGATAAAGTGTTATAGCACCCAACTGCCTCTATATGTCAAAATTATAGCACCCAATGCTGCCCTGGACCTCTATATGTGGCATGTGTCTGATGCAGTACTGCATTAAAATAACTCTCAGTACTGCAGAATTGCCATTACTTGCAATGACACTTTATGCTGAAACAGGCTAACATGCCTATCTATACAAAAAAGTTGTGAGAGAAATAAATAAGCAGGAATGAGCACTTAAAACACTTTTCTGATTTCTCCCCAGGTTTTTAAAACCACAACATTTTTTTATAATCCTTCTAGCAATTTTGTGTTCCTTTTGAAGGTTGGTGCCCAAAACACTTGGCAAAATACAGGTCTCCCAACTCTTTTTGCAAAATGTGCTCCATATTGGAATAATGAAAAATGTACGTATTGTTTGGACCCCCATTGGCGCAGTGGGGCTCCAAACTGCTGACCGAAAGGTCGTAGGTTCGAATTTGAGGAACACCATGAGCTCCCAGCTTCTGCCAACCTAGCAGTTCGAAAACATACAAATGTGAGTAGATCTGGCGGGAAGGTAACAGTGCTCCATGCAGTCATGCCAGCCAGATGACCTTGGAGGTGTCTACAGACAACACCGGCTCTTCAACTTAGAAATGGAGATGAACACCAACCTCTAGAGTTGGACACAACTGGACTTAATGTCAGGGGAAAACCTTTACCATTACCTTTTACTTATTGTGTATTAGAAGTTAAATATGGTTTCACTTTCTGTTGAAAACTTCTGCTGCCATTTGTTTAGCAATGGAAGATTGGTAAAAGGTTTAGATAACAATATCCTCACCCTTTGTCCTGGACTTATGGAAAAGGAAATGTTTTCAAGGATAGCCAAGCCTCCATCTAAATACTTGGCAGTGAGATTCTTCACAACCATTTGCCCGCCAGAAGGCCAAATATACTCTTCCTTTACATGCTTATTCTCAATTATTAGGACTTGGGAAAGCCCCTCGTTCCTTGATGGTGGCGTAGTTTGGGATTCTTCGGTTGGCATATCAATGAATTTAAATATTCGACTGACAGACCGCATCTGAAAACAAGAGTAAGCAACGCTAAAGTCATTCCCACAACTATAGGAAATATTAAATATATAGTTTGATTCCAAATAAAACACTTTTTTCAGTATCATTTCTTTCTCAAATGCAACAGAAAATGGAAGCTTGGTATTGAAAATCAATATTTATTCTGAAGCATACGAACTGTGGATGCAAATTATTTACACTGCCGGCATTTCTCTGCCACAATTCCTTCTGTCATGACAACAAAAGCTCCCTGTAAGTTTTTCATCTATGAATCCTCATATTATACAGCTTTGATGAAGGCTCTTTGAAGAACCACAATTTCCTGTAGAAACCAGTCTGACTTTTGTGGTCTTCGAGGAAGGCTCGTTTTTCAGTCCTACAGGCTTCTGAGACATGTCTGCTGCATGTATGAGAGAGGTTTTCCTGGTTTTTTCAGGCTGGATCTACATTGGTATATACAGTAATTCACTTTTTGACAACCAGCCCCATAGTCTGAATTTTTTAACCTAAGGCTGACAGGGTGCCTTTCTCCTTGGTGTCTTTTCACCCTTGGACAAAAACCTTTCCATTCAAGCCAGTTTTGACAAATGGCTACACTTTGGTGCAATATTTTTATTTTCATAGAATCATAGAGTTGGACAAAACCACAAAGGCAGTTCAAGCCAACCCCCTACTATGCAGGAATACACAATCAAAGTACACATGACAGATGACCATTTTGCTTCTATTCATAAAAGTCTGGAGAAGGCAACTCCACCATACACGAGGCAGCATATTCTGCTATCAAATAGTATTTACCATTGGGACATTCCTTCTACTGTTTAGATGGAATATCTTTTCCTGTATTTTGAATCCATTGCTTTGTGTTTTTGGGTGCATCCACATTGTAGATTTAATGCCATTTGATACCACTAACTACTGTGGCTCAATGTGATGGAATCATGGGAACTGTTGTTTTAGCTTTTTCTTCCAAAATGCGCAGGTGCCTCATCAAGCTACAGCTTCCACGATTCCATAGCATTGAACCATAGCTGTGAAACTGCAATAATTCTACAGTGTAGTAGATGCACCCTTAAAAGCTCTTGAAGAAAATGGAAGGTGGTTAATCCGTCTGCAATTGCATTTTTAAAATACAATAGCACCTAGGTTGAAGTTCACACATGCCCCAGAAAGCATGTGCTTTAGGGGGTGGGAATGTCCATCTGGCCTTCCAGAACCTTCTGGAAGGACAAGGAGACATCCAGACCCCTCTCCAAAGCCACTTAAAATGGGGGGGGGGGGAATAACTCACCATTAAACTGCTGCCGGGGCTCTCCTGGCATGTAGAAATGATGTGCTTGGGGGGGGGGCAGAAGGTGGGGGGGGAAGTAGTTTTTTTCTTCTCCCCCCCCCCCCACCCCGCCTTTCTCCTGGCATGTCATTTCTATGTGCCAGGAGAGCTCCTACAGCAGTTTAATTGCAGCCTGATAAGTTATTTTACTCCCCCCGCCTCCACATTTTTAAGTGGTTTTGGAGAGGGTATTAGAGCCCTCTCACATTTTCCAGGCTAATCAGCCCAGGAAATGCAAGAGGGCTGCCGAAGTCCCAGAACTTCCAAGGAGGCAGTCCAGACAGTGGCCATAGGTCTTTCAGGAAGACTCAGGTCATTCCATATCAAATTAATTCAGCACAAAGCAGGGTTTTTCTGCTTTGTGCTAAATGTATTTGTTTTTACATGGGATGTCGTTTGGATGCTCCACATAAAAACATGGGAGTTTACATAAGGGCATTGGCTTGTCAGAGATTAGCTGAGAAAAAAGGACAGGTGCATCATTTGGAACAGATGGAAGGTTTGAGATCAGCAATACTTCATTACACCAGAAAGGATAAATATTGAGTACAGAAAATGCTAACTCTTCACCTGTATACAAACATTTGTCCAAATTTAAATTCCGTGTCTTCTTTACATTCCTTACAGGATAGGGTTATATATATTTTTTTGTTTAATCTGATATTCTTATAAAGAAATAAACCAATACTCAATATTTAAGGCACTTCTTTAGTTTGCATCTGGGAAACCATTTTAAGTAGTAATATCTAAGCTTTCACCATCTCTAATGAGAAACTTGTTTTCCCCACAATGAAAAAATGCCAATTTCTTGAGTAATTAACTACCGAGGCCGATAGCATGTTCTGTGTTAATGGAAACAAAGGTGTGTGTAATTACAGTGAATCATTTAATAGCATATCTGTCCATCAAATAATACTCAAATGATATGTCTACATGGAAATTTTCAAGGTCTAAGAAGATAGCAACAGAGACACGGTGGATAGCAGGAGAAAAAGAAGCAAGAAGAATTAAAGGGACTGCCAGAAAACATAAAAGAACCAAGGTTTTTTTCTGCAGGAATTCCCAGGATATAGTGTTATTTCTAAATACCTGATTCAGTACTAAGGGCAGATCCAGATAGGCCTTTATCCCAGGAGAATCCATGGATCTTCCCTGGGGGCCTGTTCACACACACCTTAGAATGTGCCCACTTTCTGGGGTGAGTGTCCAGATGATCTCCCAGGACTGGCCAACAAAAACATCTGGAGGCCCTATACCCTTCCCCCAAAGCCCCCAGACCACTTTGACAAGTTAAATAAACTTACCTGGCCTCCAGTACACTCTTGGAGCAGCTCTGCCAGTGCGTAGAAATGACGCACCAGGAGAGGGGGGGGAGCAATTTTCCTCCTCTCCCCCACTCTCCTTGCGCATCATTTCTATGCAGCAGGAGAACTGATCCAAGAGTGTACTGGATTCTGGGTAAGTTTTCTTTACTTTTCAAAGGGGTTTGGGGGCTTTGGGGGAGGGTGGTGGGTGGTGGGTATTCCCAGAAAACTGTCCAGAAAACTGTGGGAATGGTGTCTGGACTGCAGTCCAGACACCAAAGATAGTGGGTTTATCCCATGCCTTCCAAGAAGGGGTGGAATAAATCCACTATCTAATTAATTTGCTACAAACCAGTGTTTTCCTGGTTTGTAGTGAATTAATTTGGAACTGTCCAAAATGTTGTCTGGACAGCCTCTTCTTTATTGCGGGAGTTACTGCAATAAAAGTGCTGTTCTGACAGGCCCCAAGTCTGGTGGAATGGTGAGAGCTGTATACATGTTTAAATAAAACCAAATAAAAATAGCCATAAAACTCCAGTTATTTCATTCCAAAAATCAATCTAGAGTAATGCTCATGGAGTTCTCCCAGACCCAGGAGTTATCGCATACAGTTTTGGTATGAATTTATAACAATACATTTCACCCACTAAAATCTATGTAAACAAATGTGAACACCTGACACGTTAACTGTGATAGACATCAGTTGTTGGGTGACTTGGCTGAATTATATAATAATAAAATATAGTGAAGTATCTTCTATGCCCACCTTCTACTTTTGTGATAGCCCTCGCCCTGTTCACCATTATGAGAAGTCTCACTTTGACAAGATTCCCTAGCATGAATGCTATCACTTCACAACAGTCCTCTTTACTATAGCAGCCTGGTTGTTACAAGAAATGTGTACAGTTCTTACCAAACTATCTACATCGATGCTTGAGTTTACTGCCCACTGCAAGGTTCCCATAATATTCATTGCCAAGGTAAGAATAATGCCAACTTCTCCTTCCCCATTGCCTGTAAGGACAAGAAAACATTTTAAAACCCAGCTTATTTACACAAATCACAACATGTTTAATTTGAATCCTTTTCTGGAAAAACCATTAAAAGTTTCATTTCCTATCACTGGAGCCATTTAAGGGCCAAAAGAGACCTTTATGAAAAATAAGGGTGAACAATAAGTGACCACTAATAATTTCTTGTTGTTAAAAACATCTAAAATGATGTTGTATGCCCTCAGTCATTCAACTTATAGCAATTATCAGGCAAATTTATCATGGAGTTTTCTAGGGCTGAGCGCTTATGCTTTACTCAGGGTCACCTAGTGGGCATCCATGGCTAAGTGGAGAATTGAATCCTATTCTCTAGTCATGGGTTTGAAGGCATTAGGGACAAAAGTGCAGCCTTCCGTGGTCTCCTGGAAGGTAATGCATCCTTCCAACCTCCCACAATTTTCCATCCTTGCTTAAAGGACTCTTGCAAAGAACAAAGTATTGTCTTTAAGAAGCTGCAAAATATAACAGATGCAACTAATTTAAATCTAGCAATGAACAATGCCTATGAATTTTCATATTTAAGGAGCTTCAAAGGTGCACAGAAAACAATTAATTTCCATTTTGTTCAAAACAGAAAGTAAATACCTGTAGTAGCAATAGAAACAAATGTCACAATGATGAAGAAGATGACAAAAATCATTTCTATCCTCATCTGGAACCAACGTAATGTGGATAAATACAGGAACCAGTTTGCTGTATGCAAGTTCAAGGCTTTGTGAAACAGAGTCTCAAAATACGGTTGCCGGCCAAAAGCTCTCAATGTCCAAAGCCCCTTTAAGCTCGTAACAAGATGGGTGAAAATTGGACTTCTAGCTACACAGAACAAAATAAATGAATAAATAAATAAAATGATAATAGTACATTTAGTACCTTTTGTAATTTTTACTATAATTATTTTAATACTAGACTGTTTACATTGTTTAAGGTGTCTGATAGGTTCCTTAATCACTCTCTTTAGTAGAAATGTGAGATAAAATGCAATAACAAATAAAAAATACAATAATATCTTAACTATCTAAAGAGTTGCTTGCAAATATATGCAGGCTGATACCAAGCTGTAATATTTATGGTATAAACCTGCATATATTTCACAAGTGATTGTACATCACACAAAACAAATGTCTGCATATTGAATGTTCTTATTCTCTAAGTATTCCTGCTGTGTTCAATCTTTACCAGTAAATTGGCTTGAAATGTTGGTCACAATATCTTAACCACTGTGCGCTAAAGGTGAATTTCAAGGAACAAGATTAAAGTGATACTGTAATCTACTGAGGCACTCTTGAGGCAGTGACAGGCTGACTTCACTAATACTTGCTCATCCTTATTATGAACCACCACCCAGACCTCCTCTTAGTGTATGCAGTCTGGCTAGATGTATGTTGTATGTTGTGTTGTCTGTTTTTGATAAGGCCAACTGGCTAATCAATAAAAATTGTTTGTTCATTTGTATGCAGTCTGGGAATTCCATTGTGATGAAATGTGATGGGTCACTCCCATATATCTTGGGCATTTCACCTTAACTTACTCTTCTAGAACACTGTTTAAAGTTATTTTGATCGACTCCTTTCCATGTTGCAGAGAGGTTTCTCTCAAGTTCTGTCCATTTTCAAATCCAATTTTGTTGTTTTATCTTCATTCATTTATAATGCCTTTTACACTAAAGCAGAAGTGTCAAACATGTGGCCCTCCAGATGTTTGGGCCTCCAATTCCCAGAAGCCCTAGCCAGCTTGTCCAATAACCAGGAATTCTGGGAACTGAAGTCCAAGACACCTGAAGGGCCACAAGTTTGACAGCACTCCACTCAAGGGTTGAACACCAAACATATACAATCAAAGACAAGGACAATAAAATATAATACTATAAATATACAACATTCCATCTGCTATTATGTATCTCCACAACCAAGGACACAAACTCAGGAGCTTAATTTGGTGAAGCAAAGAAGAAAGTCTTCAACTCTTAATGAAATGACTGAGATCCCCATCCAACCAGAGGTCTAAAGGAAGGCCATTCAACAGAGAAGACAGAACTTGAAAGGCTTGCAACCTGTGTGCATCAGTGGAACTGACAATAACACAGCCTAACAACAACAACAACAGCTCTCAGTGTCTTGGTTTTTGGGCCTATTTGGGGATTATTTGGGGTGTTGATTCAGGAAATTGCATTGGATAGACCACATTAGCTCTATTTTAGATACCTTGTTACCTAAGAGCACTTCACACATGACTTAAATGTGTGCCAAAGTGGGCTTAAAAATTTGCTTCGGCACAGCTTTAAGTCCACCCCACCCCAAAAGCCCAGGCTTTCCCGAGTGGGGAGGATGTCTACATGCAGCCACATTGTCATGCAATCCCCAAGGCCAATCCACACAGCCATCTCGGTTTTTCGGGTTCCAGGAGCCCAAAAAACCAAGAAGGAACCTACCCCCTCTCCAAAGCCCCCCAAAAGAAGACCTTAAAAGTAAAAAAAACACCTAGCCACCATTATGGTACTCCTCACACCCTCCTGCCACAAGGAAATGATGAGCCACGAGACCAGAGGGGAGGCTTCCCCCCCCCCCCCAATCTCCTGGCATGTCATTTTCTCATGTCAGGCAGGTGTGAGGAGGACCATAATGATGCCTGGAGCATGAAAAACTGAGATGGCTGTGTGGATTGGGCCTGGGGATTGCATGACATGGTCCCAAGGCCCATCCACACAGGTTCCACACTTGGTAAGTCCCGGATCTCACCTACGATCTGAGTCTTACCAGGTGTTTAATTAATTTGGAACAAAGCAGGAAAAATTAATTCAGTTTTACTGGAGACATTGTTTGGATGCCTCCGGTAAAACTGAGACAGGTCCCAAGATATGGGCCTATCTGGATGGGCCCTATGTTTCTTGTTATTATGCTTTTCTATGGGTGAGCAGATGGCATGACTATCTGATAGGGGGAAACTGGTACCATTTTTTGAATGAGCAGGTCAAATATGCCCAGAAACAGGGATAACATTTGAGGCACCAAAATGTGTATTGGCCAGTGATAATCATTTATATGTAAAAAAAAATAATAATCCCAACATGGTACAATATGCACATAAGAAAGTACTGAAAACCCATGGGATCATAAACACTGGATAAAAACTGATAGGGCAGGTGTGCATTACTAATTTGTCATTGTTATTTTATAACTCTTCCATTTTTCCTCACCATACCTTCAGATTCCAGTTGCTTCAGCTGCTGAGAAGTGTGCAGAAAGTATGCTCTTAACATTATAAAGGCTGCTATCACAGGCACAGATGCTAAGAAGATGTACGGTTCGATAGCTGAGACTACTAATATTGCACCAATCACAATTAATATTAACTGAGGAAAGAGAGAAAAACATTGTTGACACAGTAAACATTTACTCCCTATTTTATGAATTAAACATATATCATTTCCCTTGAGGTATTAGCATACATAATTGCAACATCTTAGGAGTGCCCTCTCAAATAAGATTTCTATTATGAGAATAAAAACAAATTAAACATAATTGGTGCTAGAGCTTTCTGAGATTAATAACTGATTGCTTGAATTGCTAAATCAGGATGTCATTAATAATGCATTGATTGAACGTTTTTGAAAAAGTCAATGTCTGTTCAATGTAGTTAAAGTATAAATACTAGTAAATAAAACAAAACATTTTCCTCCATAAATCTGTCTAGATATGAACTGGAATGTAAAAATGCACACCAACAGCTCCAGGATAGACATAGTTCTTTGTGGATCTCACTACATGGGTTCTGTTTTGATGTGACTTTTTTGTATATTCATTGTCCCATCAATATTCATATCGGAATATCATCTATGATACTATTACTAAGCCTTCTTATATGGAAAAAAAGTTTCCATACAGTCATTCACACTTCGATTAGACTACAACTTATAAAAAAGCAGAAAAGATTATTTTTAAAAAGTGAGAAGGAGATATTTGGAATGTAATACATGTTTACACAAAACTCAACAAAATGCAGGAGACCTGATGCTATTGGCCACCCTATCAACAGAGCAAGTCTCTTCTGGTGAAAACCAATACAAGAAATTTCTAACACAGAAGCATGGACCCTTCCTATCTCTTAAATGAAAGACAACTGATATAAAAATGCCCTTACTGCCAAGATAAATGTTTGAAGCCAGTAAATACAACATAAGTCCTTTGATGAGCTATACAACAGTTGTCTACAATGCACTCTGAAACCACAGTGTTATGCATACTACAGTGAAAGAAACCTTGTCCGTTTTAAAATGGGGTATTGTTAGCATAATTGCTAGCAGGCACATATTTGCATTTTCTAAAATATCACAATTTGAAAATTTGTTTGTAGCTGAGAGCTTGATGGTCAAAGAATCAGAGCTATAATTTGACACAATATAGTTTGCCTTCCTTAAAGCAAGGAAGTTCCAACCTGCAAAATATATTTGGTTTATACAAACCTGGATGAAGTCAAATATGGTAAGTGGTAGCAGGTCATCCAGTATCGCTATATCCTTTGAAAATCTGTTAAGTATCCCACCTACATGTTGAAAAAGAAAATAATAGAATAGTAGACTTCAGGAACCAGTATAATAAAGGATTATTTAAACAAGTGAGCCTTCTGGGTTGCTGCTAAAAGTTAGAGAGAGCTTCCTTAATAATTTCATTAATATAATACATCAACCTTTCTTTAAAAATGTTCAATACCAAAATCCATTCATTTTCTTAAAAACAAAACAAAAACCTTCCAGCCAACAAAAGAGCAAGGAGTGAGTCATTTTAGCCTCCCTGAAAAGGAAATTTTAGGGCCTATGGGCAGCCTCAGAAGGAGGGTTTCCTCCAATTCTACATGCTTCAAGACTGAATACTATGGATCCCATCAAATGATGCTGTTTTGTGGTTTGCCCATGAGATTCCATCTCCAAAGAGAGTAGAAATGAGTGGATTTGAAAGATGGGCAGGATTCAACTCCACTGCTCTCCCTGCACATAAAAACATTTAAAAATTGGGTTGGGATAGGAAGTGGTGGATTTTTCAATTTAAACACTATTTTGTGTTGTTTTAGTGTGGGCATTCATGTGGGTGGTCTGCAAACGTCCCTCGATGCTCCTTCTGTCACTATTAGTGGTTTAAAGACAATGTGGGTCCCATTGAAAGAAGTATGTTAAAGGCGTTCTGGTCTCCTTTAGAGAAGAGGTTCAAAGGGGATGGAGAAGATCCCATTAGGAGAAATGTTTTTAAAAGTTTGCAGGTTCTCTTTGAAATGGAAGAAGAAAATGCCCACTTGTGTGATGGGAAATGAAGTGAATGATTCAGCTAGAAATGGAAAGAGGCAATCCTATGTGATGGGGATGAATAAATTCTCCATCTTCTTTAAAGACGGAACACCACAGAACGTGAAGAAGATGATTCCTTCCGCTTCCTCTCCCCTCTTGTGGTCTTAAAGGCTCTATTTCACATTCTCACCATGCCTGTGAAGGTATTGGAGTGCAGAGAGGGATCTCTCCTGAGGATCTCAGAGCCCTATATTAACTTGAGTTGATCTGTTTTCTCCTATTTGGTAACAACATAGCAGCATCACTGTGCACCTTACTAGCTATATTTATGGGCTAATTTCCAAAGCACAGAGAAGCTTTGCTGCCTCTAGACAGCCCACTGGACCAGTAAATAAAAGTCTCTAGACCAGAACTTTCCAAATTATGTGTCACAACACATTAGTATGCTCTGGCTGCAGTGTGTCACATGAACATAACATGAAATTGCTGAGTCTATGTAAAATATACAATAAATATTATATTTTGAAATATACAAATTAAAGGTTTTCATGAGATTTGTTTTGTCCCCAAACATTTTTTTACTGCATTTTTGTATGTGTCTTTCTCTCTTAGAAGGCTTGGCTCATCCCCTGGGTTGCTAGTAAGACTGAATTACTGTGTCATAAAATGATGCATGTCTCAAAAATGTGTCACCAAGATGAAATGTTTGCAAAGCTCTGCTCTAGACCATCTAATTATGAAGCTACAAACACTGCTTTACCTCCCAGTTGGAAATCTAGAAAATTCTTTTTTTCCACCTTGCACCCTACCCACAATTCACTCCTAAATTCTACCTTGTTGGAAAAAAATTTCTGACAAAAGTGAAGGAGAGAGATATTCATTTTTTCCTGGTCCTAGCAAAAACCTGAGATGTCCCATTTCATACAAGTCTACTGTTTTTCTGAACTATAAGCTTTCTGCTTATTGAATAGGCTGGCCAGTTCTACCTGCTTTCAACTTGTTCAAGGAAGACATGGGTGCCTGAAGGACTGCATGCAACATCTTGTGATGAAGAGTTTTAGAAACTGTTATCAGAGTGTGCACGAGGGGTATGCCTCTGATGACTCCCATGGCCAGTAGAGTATCTGCCACTCCCACATAAATGTAGAAGATGTAATAGCTGCTAGACTCGGTAACAACAATGCCAGCATTTTCAGAGGTAGCGTTGGTTGACTTTGTTACATTTGTGGTAGTATTTTCTGGAACAAGAGAGCTATAAGAAGAAGACAGAAAGATAGTTATACGGTCAATATATTCATTTTATATTGTTAAAATATGTCGAGTAGAGAGGAAAATGTAACTGATTTGAAGACATTTCTCTTTTTGGAAAATGTGGGTTTTTAAAAAGCATTTTCAATAGATAGGGGGTGGGAGAGTTAATTTTAAAGCAGAGTTATATGTGACTTTTGCAGAATGCTCCACAATGTCCCCAAATGTACTCCAGGGGTGTAGAGGGCATTTCCGCCACGTTCAAAGGCCTCTATGCCACTCAGGGGAGATAAACGGTTCATAAAATTGGCCCCCAAACTGACTGGCAGCCAGTGGAGCTAACCCAACAGTGGAGTTGTATCCTCCCAGTATGCCACTCCAGTAAGGAATTTGGCTGCTGCCTGCTGGACCATTTGAAGCTTCCAAACAGTCTTCAAAGGCAACCCCACATAGAGAACATTGCAGTAGTCTATTTGGGATGTAACAAGAGCATAGACCACCATGGCCAAGAAGGATCAAAGTAGATATGACAAATTAACATAAGCATGTGTGTTCTACAAACAACAGCTACTAGAGAGCCTGAGTGCCTTCAGATTCAAGGGGGGACTAAAAAGGGGGAATTTAACTTATTTTCTCCCTACCTCACAAAAATTGCATCTCAGATCAAAACCAATTATTGTTTTTCTTGCCGCTGTTGTTTTGACTTAGAATTACCTTTCCCCCAAAACTGAGACTCAGAATAGTTACAACAAAAATCAGATGAAAACAGATAAAAACAAACATCACACTAAAAAACAACTATACTAGTACAAAATTAAAACATGATTAAGTTTTTAAATACCTATAAAATATTTTTAATCTGCTATGTATTTAAATAAAAATCAAAGTAATACTCACGTGAAATACAATACTCCAACGAGGGATGCCACCACCTGCAAATAGGAAGTACATAGTTCATTACTATTATTTAAAAGGCTAGTGTACATGTATTTATTGTATTTTAATTTGATTTTACCACACTGTTACAATTTAATTGTTTTTTAACTTTTGTATTGCATTTTTTAAACTAAGTGTGGGATTGTTAGCTGCCTTGAGCCTCCACGGGAGAAAGGCGGAGTATAAACAAAGTTAATAATAATAATAATAATAATAATAATACTGTTACTGTTGCTGTATTTCCCATGTAAGGTAACTGGGTGAAAAGAATAACTGGGCTCTAGCACATTTAATAGTTCTATACAAGAGGAAAGACCAGCAAATGTGACTACTGGAATATATTTCTTTCTGTACATAGCAATTAAAATTAGGAAGTTTTATTCTTTATTTCTAGCAGAGCTTCTATTTTATCTTATTTGAATCCTGATTTCATTTGCTGCTGTTATACAGACTCAAGACATAGGTTATAAAGTCATTATTCTCACCTCAATTGAAAAGATAACTACGCACATAATTAACACAACAAGCAACGTTTTGTGGATGGTAATATATCTGAAGTATGTGTTCCATGTTGTAACAGTGTTCATTGTCTCAGAATCATCAAAGAAACATTCCTAGTAAAATAATGAGGAAGGGAGCAATTAGAATGATCCAAGTATTGATTTTTGCATATCCATATTGTTCCATAAATGCTTATTTCCTAGCTTTCTTCTAAATATTATATTTATGAATTCTGTTTGCCTAATCTGTTTCTTCTATTCATTGTTCTTCTTTCTTTCCAAAAATATAAGATGAACTCTGACAATATTTGAATATTTTACTGAATATTTTAATAAAATATTTCTGAATTATCTGAAGCAGAGAAATAACTGAACCATGGCTATTTCATTTGTCAGTTGCAACTCAATTTTATCTCTTTTTTGCTCATGGGTATAAAATACATGCATTCAAGAATTATTTAGACTATATAAATTTTCCCTATATTTAGACTATATAAAAATATGTTTGTACAGATAGACATTTTCCTACTATACGCGTCTTGATACCATTTTGGACATGCCAAGTTTGGGAAATGTCTACAGTCCAATTTATAGCTACTAGTAAATGTTTTCCACTGACCTTAAGTCCATTCGTGTCCGACTCTGGGGGTTGGTGCTCATCTCCATTTCTAAGCCAAAGAGTCAGCATTGTCTGTAGACACTTCAAAGGTCATGTGGCCAACATGACTGCATGGAGCATTGTTACCTTCCTACCAGAGCAGCACCTATTGATCTTCTCACATTTGCATGTTTTTGAACTGTTAGGTTGGCAGAAGCTGGGGCTGACAGCAGGAGCTCACACCGCTCCTCAAATTTAAACCTGTTCAGCAGCTAGGTAGATTAAACCACTGTGCCACCACTGTTTATATTTTTGTTATGTGCCTACAAGTCTTTTCTGACCAACGGTGACCCTGAGACAACCCTATCTTGAGGTTTTCTCAACAAGATTTGCTCAGAGAGAGTTTGTCTTTGCCTTTGCTACCTTCTTAGTCTGAGAAACTGTGACTTGTCTGAGGTCATCCATGGCCAAGCAGGAATATGAACCCTGGTCTCTCAGTGTCCTAGTTCATTGCTCAAACCATTGCACCATGCTGGTTCTCTCTTAATATTCTAGGAAGTCACTTTAAAACATGTGCCAAAAAAGTTATACCTCATTCCTACTGAAACATAACTGAGAGATAGTCCTGCTGATTTCTCAGTAGCTAATACGCAAGAGTTAATCCCAAGGAGAATAGATCTACTAAATTAAAATAACTTATGGAAGTGTTCATTTAGAAAAGTGCAACTGACGGAATGAGCCTACCCTTTCCGGGATATGACAGTTAGAGTTAGCCCAACGTTACTCCAAGAAAAATGACTGTAAGATCATTGTTTTATACACCAAAACTTAACAGCTGAAACCTGAAATTAAAAGGAGGTGTACTATGAGAATTAGACTACAACTTGTTGAGTAAAAGGGGAGCATCTTATATAGACACTGGTAGGTGAAGCACATCAAATAACAGTAGAATGAAAAATGTACCTTTAAATCCTCTTCATTAAGTTCTTCAGTGATTTCTACCATGCTGTCCCTAGACAAGCGCCTGGCATAGATATCTATCTCAGAAGCCTGGTGAACTACAGACATTTTACGTACTGATACACTGTTCTTTGTGTAAAAGCTCTGTCCAGGATGAACAGAGGTTCGGGTCATCAAGTTAAGCACAGACTGCCTCCTTGGTCCTCTGAATGTGGGGCCAGGATTAAGTACATTGCTTCGTGGCAAAATTGCCTCCCCTTGTTCAGAGTCAGGCACCAAAGACAACCTTCTTTCAACTGGTTCTCCAAGACTTTCTTCTATACCATTAGCCTGCAGTGGTGTTTTTTGTATAAGAGAAAATTTTCGGCTTGAGTTCAGTGCATTCATCACAGAATTCTTCCTTTTCTCAGTAAAATCCGATGTTTGCTTAAAAGAAGGGATCTTCATTTCATTTCGTGAGCCCATTCCATCACTGTCAATAGACAGCCTCCGCAGTGTTTCAGTCAAAATAGAGTTCCTTCTGTCTGCACTGAACTGATCGAAAGCATCAAATCCCATCAGCTCAGAGCTGAAGTTGGGTCGTTGACCCTGAAGCTCAGAAAATGTTCCATAGAAATAGCATGTTCCTTCATGTAAAATCAATATTTTGTCTGCTATCTTTAAATGTTCCAGTTTTGAAGTGACCAGGATTCTTGTTTTGTTCACAATGAGCTTGCACACACAACTTTGATAAACAAAAAACAGGAAAGACAGTTATTTTAAAAATTTAAGAATTTATGCCATTTTCTTTATTTATATTTTTCACTCCTTTCATTTTATGAAAAATAATCAATGTAATTATCTCGTATTATAGTTTGAGCAGTGGAAGACAAGGTGCTACTTTCTGGCAAGTCAAGCAGCTGAACACTATGATGTGTCTAGTGAAATATCAATGCAGTATTACTATGCTTGCTAACTAAAAATAAAGAATTACAATATGACATAATATCCTTTTTCCATTAGGTTGTTAGTCAAATTGCCTTAAACTGCCCCTATTCCATAATATACCTTTTTCATAAGGGCCCCCTAGTGGCACAGCCAGTTAAACCGCTGAGCTGCTGAACTTGCTGACCGAAAGGTTGACAGTTCGAATCTGGGAAGCAGAGTGAGCTCCCCCGTTAGTCCCAGATTCTGCCAACCTAGCAGTTCGAAAACATGCAAATGTGAGTAGATAAAAAAAATGTCAGAATATATCATACCTTTCAAATATTTCTTTTTCTGTTAGCATGTCTAAATAACCAAAAGGGGAATCCAAGAGATACAAGTCAGCATCCTTATACACTGCTCTAAACAAAGGACAAAAAAATTAAATTAGCTTCTGGATTTGAATTGACAGATAGATCCTTTATTTATTTATTTATTTGCTATATTTGTATACCACTTTTCTCAGCCCTCGGGTGACTCAGAGCAGTTAACAATAGCAGAATTCAATGCTCAAATGTTTTTTCATAGACTAATATAAACTGTATCCAGAGTATCCATGATGACAAAGGATAGGCTCATATGATCCATCATATTCGTATTTAATTATGTAAAATATTTGTTCACTGAATGTTCTAAACATTTTCCCAAAAACCCATTCTTGCCGACCTGGCCATACAAAACACTGTGTTTTCCTTGGAGCGTTCTCTTTTATTACCTCCTTTTGAAACTGTTGATTTTTACTGAGTGCTTGTTTCATCATGCTGCTGTAGAATAAGTTCAAAATGTAAACAAGACATATGCACAGATCAGCCAGGCATTTGGTGAGAGGTAATGATGAATCAATAATTACAGAAGTAATGAATCAATAATGGATTGGATAAAGGCCAAAAAGTGACAAGATGGAAACATGCTTGGTTCATGCTGGTTCTGATTTGAGAGGAATTGTTCAAACTGTTGCATTCCCATTTTAAGAGTAGGCTAGCCTCCGGTGGCACAGTGGGTTAAATCACTGAGCTGCTAAACTTGTTGACCGGAAGGTCGCAGGTTCAAATCCGGGGAGTGGCGTGAGCTTTCGCTGTCAGTCCTAGCTTCTGCCAACCTAGCAGTTCAAAAACATGCAAGTGTGAGCAGATCAATAGGTACCACTCCGGTGGGAAGTTAATGGCGCTCCATACAGTCATGTCAGCCACATGACCTTGGAGCTGTCTACAGACAAAGCCAACTCTTCGGCTTAGAAATGGAGATGAGCACCAACCTCCAGAGTCTGGACTTAATGTCAGGGGGAAACCTCAAGGGCAGTGTGTATTCAAAAGCACCAGTGAATGGAGCACCTTCCAAAGCACCAGTGAATGGAGTCACTCTTAAACATCTATCCATACAAATCCACATATCAGATACACTTACTTAGGTCATACATCACTGGTGCATAAATTACAAGTAGCAAATAACAGAAACACATTGATTTTTACACATTACTCTCCCCTCTGCATCCTCAAGATTTAAAGAGTCAACTCTTACTGATGCTTCAACCATCATGATCATATAGTGATAATTACTCCTTCCATTCTCTCTGCAGGTTCAGCAAGATACTTTCAATTACAACTCATGATCTGACAGTTTCCTATTTATGTCTGAATGGCTTAAGGTACTGTAGGTACAGTGGCATCTATGGTTTGAAACACAAGCTCTAGTTGATGTACCCACTGCGGCCCCTCCTGAGCAGAAATAGATGCTCTCCGGTGGATCTCTCCCCCCCACCCCAAATATTGACCTAAATCCTATTGTTAGGTCCAAGTATAGCAGATTCATGGAACCCATTATATTTATCTGTGTGTTTACTTATTAATCCAATAGAACTATTCTAACAGAGATGCACCAATAGCAACTGTTTGATTGACTTCTTCTGACTGGGGGGATATGATAGCCATGTATAAATATGTGAGAGGAAGCCACAGGGAGGAGGGAGCAAGCTTGTTTTCTGCTTCCCTGGAGACTAGGACGCGGAACAATGGCTTCAAACTACAAGAGAGGAGATTCCATCTGAACATGAGGAAGAACTTCCTGACTGTGAGAGCCGTTCAGCAGTGGAACTCTCTGCCCCGGAGTGTGGTGGAGGCTCCTTCTTTGGAAGCTTTTAAACAGAGGCTGGATGGCCATCTGTCAGGGGTGATTTGAAGGCAATATTCCTGCTTCTTGGCAGGGGGTTGGACTGGATGGCCCATGAGGTCTCTTCCAACTCTTTGATTCTATGATTCTATGACTGAAAAAAAAACTCACATGGAAATTCAATGTATGACTGTCACCTTTAAAATTATAAAATCATTTTCTACTACATGAGCCTTTCTGATGCTTAAAACCATCTTCACTAAAAAGCCCTTTGCAAGAGTCCCAAAGTTTGGCAATCAGAAAGGGGGGCATCTTAATTATGGTGCCTTTTATATGACAAGTCTGTATGAAAAATTAAGACTTGAATATCATATTATAAAATATTAGTAAGAAAAATAAGATTAGGATGTAATCCTGTTCCAAACTGAACTCAATGCACATTTGAGTAAGCTTGTTTTGGTAATTTTAGCTCAAAACTTCCTCCCCAGCATAATACCTAGCACGCTCTGCTTGAATTTCAGTCAAGTACTAGAGTCTTTGATTTCCTCTTTATGACCAAGAAAGTTATGCAGCCAAGGGATTTCCCATTTGTGTAAATTTTAGTGTGTTTTGTTTATTGTAGTATTGCATTGCTTGCTAAGAATTTATCTGAAAGTGAGGAATAAATGAGCTATTAACTGAGGTCTAGAGACCATTAGCAAATTAATAAGTAGGGAAGGGTATGAACATATTCACTTATATTGCGATTCAGCAAACATGCAGCTAAGCCCCCAGTCAAGAGGCAGCATTTCCACTATTTATCCCTTGTGGAAAAGTGATGGATGTATTCAGTAAAGAATGCCTGCATATAGAAGTCTGGTTCTTGTGCAAATTTCTATAAAGAATTTCAGAGTGTGTTCCAGTCAAATACATTGTTTTTCTTTAAACGAATGCAGAACAGAAAGCAACAACACTATGCTGACATCACTATCTCTTCAATGCATTTCAGAAGTGTTGATGATATTCCCAGATGAGCTCATAATGGAATTAGATGTGCTACATGAATAATGCAGTACAAATTATTCAGAGGCAACTATATTTCACATTTACACCATTTTTAGAGGCAGGGATAGCATCAAACATTCAAACTGTGGAGTCTGGATGCCTCAGTTGTCTGCATTCCCTGCAAATGTGGAATGTCTATGGATGAAAAATGAAGCACATAATTATTTCTGATGTCTGTCTCTCAACAGGAAAACTTAGGGGAAAAGCTACATTTCCATACCATGAAATCTAAAGTATTTTTTTAACTTTAGGTCTCAGTCACTTTTCAATTAGTTGTAAGAAAATGAGTACACAATTCCATTGAAATCCCCCCCCCCCAATGTATCAGAATGTACAGAAAGAACCATATTTACTTAAAGAAATTTTCATGCAGTTATTTCAGCTCACCTGGCTAGGGAGATTCTGGCTCGCTGGCCACCACTGAGGGTGATTCCACCTTCTCCCAAAACTGTATCATCCCTTTCTGGAAATTTTGAAATGTCCTATTCAAGGAAGACAATTTTTTTTATTATTTTCAGGTTTGCTCTTCTCAAATCGTATGCTTGAATTTGACCCACAACTAACCATTACTTATTGGGAGGCAATTATTGTATGTGTTCTCTGTAGTCCATCAGGGTATTTGCATAACAATGGCCATACACAACATTCTGCCACTTTTTAGTTATTCCTGACTCTTAAGAATTTATGAAAAAGGCAACAGCTTCCTTTGACATTATGGATTCTTTAGGAACCCATTTCTTTCCAGTTGTTTCTCTCCTGTGCTTTCCTGATAATCCAGAGGAAGAACAGCCTCAATCTTCCACAATTACTAGTTTATGAGTTTTTGGTGCAAGAAATTTGGTGGACATCTTGGCCGTTTCTGTTAGAAATGTAAAGAAACTTAGAACTTGAGTTTCCTTGTTGACAAACAATATCACAACTCTCAAAATCATTTCTCGCTGTGAAGAAAATGGCCAAACATCACAAGGAGTGGATTTTAGAGAGGTTTGGGGGATGCTTTGTCTTTTGTATTTCAGCATTTATCTTGTGAAAAAAAAAGTATTTTGTGAAAAATAAAATTGAGAAAGAACTTCAAAACATGAGGGCAGATGCTAAGAGATTTTTTTTTTTCAAAATATGCCAGCAAAAAATCACATCTCTGAAGCAAATGGGAATAGAAGCTTTAACATAATATTATATCTGGCCCATTCTTCACAAGCCTGAATACTAGACAAGCTCCAAAAACTCTTGGAGTAGTATTACCAGTTAGCACACTAGTATATTTTATATGAAAAGACTGTAGACTGAAGCTAAAATATGTAGACATATATGCATTTATTGGATCAATATTCCTTTTTCTATTTGAATCTCCACTTGGTTGGACCTATGTCCACAAAACTAAGGACTACATCACATTAGGATCTCCAATCTGGATGCCGTAAATTGTGGTGAATCTGGCAGGGGATATGGGGGACTCATCACTCCACAACCTGCATCACCCGGATCACCCTTCACCTTATCCTACAGGGCAAAGCATTGTTGCCCAGCTCCCCTCCCCCCATTGTTGTCTATGCAACATGGGAAGCCTCCCGTGGAGCTTGCACATCTCTCCAGGCACAGAGCCCCGGCAGAAGTAGATGGATGTCATGTGTTGGAATCCAGCAGATTCCATGCCCGAAGAGAGGTGCAAATGTCATGGCATGGGTACTTTTGCCCATCTGATGATGTTTTAAGTCTACAGTGGGGTCCATTTGGAAGGGAAGAAATTTTGACTCCTTAAATTGCAGATTGTGTAAGGAAGAAAAACTTGAAGTGACCCCAGAGAACCAGTCAACAAACTATGACTCCTTTTGCAGAACCTCTTATAAAATATCCCCATAAATTTAACAACTACAGAAGGGAGAAAAATTATTTCTGCAACATGGTAATTCACCACACCCTTTGATTAAATTACAAGAAAAATGAATTGGTCAGATTTTTTCCTGGCTTGCATTTGTTTAGGCTCCTCTTTCAGTCCTCAGACTCACTCTGCTTTGCTTATGAGATACTAAGCAGATACTAAGATAAATCTCCTTCCAGAAAATGTAAGGTTTAGTTCAATCACAAATAAACTTAATAATCCTTGGCTTTTTAACTCTTTCTCTATTCTGACCTAAAAAGACTGCTTTGGATATTCTCTGAATATTTTCCAAAATTGTGATTTCTCCCCACCCACCCCACACATACAGGATGGTTTGTTTGGTTTTTTTGGGAGGTGTTGTTTTTTGCATTTTTATCAGGGGTTCCTTACTTTGATGTTATTGTGATTTCTATGTATCAATTGGACATAAATATATATAAGATGTTAAATCACATTCTCATATTTTCTTTGACTCCCTGCAAGTAGCTAATTGCACAACACAATTGCAACTTGTGAATCATCAATCCCGTTGCAGGTTGTTAACTCAGATGTAAATATGTAGGAATCTACTACAACACTTGATTAAGTTACATGAAAGACTAATCGGTCTGATTTTTTTACTATGTTCAGTAGGGCTTACTACCAAATAACATTTATAGGTTTGGATCAAATGTTAGTCATCAAATTAAGAAAAGTCGGGACAGGATGTAAGATAAAAAAGAGCAGAAAAAGAGAGAGAAAGGAGAAAAGCTCTTTAAAGAGAAGTTATAGTTGTGAACTAATTTCCTAAAACATTTCCTCTGTTTTCCGAGTGCCAGACCTTGCTAGTTTTTTGACATCTGGATGAAACTCAATAAAGAGCTTCTTTATGTCTTCTGTATTGTCTTTAGAGAAAAGTCCATACTCTTCTAAATAAAGTTTGCAAAGCTACTTTAAAAATAAGTAAAAATGAATGAAAATATATACTAAAGCCACAACTGAGCAGTATTGAGATAATAATATGGATTGTTTTGACGTAAAGTTATTATAATTATCTGGAAGGGTTTTTCTTACATACTGTGTTCAGTGTAAATTTAAAACATCATGGGCCTGGCAACCCAGTGAAACTCTATATGCACTTTAGTAAAGCATCACAGTAGTTTTCCCAAGGGAAACAGCAGATATTTTGGCACATTCCTGGTTCTATCTAAAATATTTCTGGATAACAAATTGCTCACAGGGAGGTCTTTCAGCTCTGCATCAGAAGCTAGCAAATAAGGTTTCACATTAAACGGTGAACATTTTATTCTAACATCTCAGTCTCAGAAAGTTATGTAAACTATTTGCTTTCTCATCTATCTCTGCATAATTGCACCTGATAAGGTTACCTCACACATCTCTAATTTTTCAAGTGAAATTTGGTGATTAATTTGTCAGGGAGAGATTACAAGTCAGTCAAAGGAGATAAGGGTTATTAATATATTAGTTTTTTAACCTTACAACACTAGACCAACTAGGGCATCCATGCAGGAGATACAGTACTCTTAATGTAGCACCATCTAGTGTGTTTCCTCAAACACATATGTAAGCCATGGCATCCAAAATGTAACGAATTATCAAAAATGTTTCAGATGTTACCATGAACTGATTTTCATTTCTGAATATCATGTTCCCAAAGCTGGCCCAACAATTATTTTCTGTGAGTTTCGTGACTATTAAATGGAAGTTGTTCAAGGTAACATATGAATGGTGCCTTCCATTTCTAAGGCAAGCAAGCTACACAAGATCCCGTGTGATCTAATTAAGATAATCATAGTTATGGTTTATTTTATCCAGTGGTGTCAAACTGATTGTTCTCCAGGTATTTTGGACTTCCGCTCCCCGACTTCCTGGCCATTGAACAAGCTGGGTAGGGCTTCTGGGAGTTGGGTGCCCAAATATCTGGGGGTGGGGCACAACTTTGACACTTCTGCATTTAGCAAATACTAGAAAATGAACATTGCTAATTATTATATTGTATCTTTATTTTCTAATAAAGTGCAACTGGTGTGCTAATATTTAGTTCACACTGTGAAGGAAGCTCTGGGTTATATGTATATATATATGTATATGTATATGTGTGTGTGTGTGTATATATATATATATATATATATATATATATGCATCTTTGATTTTCATGAAGCAATTCTTATGCTTTGTTATCATTAATTATAATTATACCCATCTTCAAAAGATTTCATTACAATTATTTGCTGTAAGTAAGAAACAAAATATAAAAAACTGAAGACTAACCTCTTCTAACTGACAAGCTTTGATGACGTTCTTATATCGGAATTCATCATAGGAAACTCCAAAGATGATATTGTCTTTAATTGTCCCAGGCATGATCCATGATACTTGAGGGCAGAAGGAAATTCTTCCACTGTGTTTCACTTTGCCTTCCAAAGGCTCCAACTCACCCATGATCAACATCAGGAGAGAAGACTGTAATTTGTTTTATATCACCATTAGTTAACCGTAATATCAAAGGGAACTTCAAAATACATAGTTCTACCAGACATAAGGAGACCCCGGTGGCGCAGCAGGTTAAACCACTGAGCTACTGAACTTGTTGACTGCAAGGTCAACAGTTCAAATCCAGGGAGTGGGGTGAGACATAACTCAGATTTCTAGTTATGTCTGGTAAGGTAAAGATACAAAACAACACAAAATATATTGACATCAAGACATCCAACATGAAATGTATGGCAATATATTTGTTCCAACTCAGTTCAAAATGTGAAATTATGTGAATTAATAAATATATTAGCCTCTTTCATGTTTGCAGGGCAAAACTGAATCTCTCTGTGTGAAACTCTGACAACTGTGGAAGCACGGCAGGATATGAGAATGCATTAATTAAAACCCCAAAGATAGGGCAACCTGTGTTACTTTGAGATGTATAATTGATTTGCTTTTAATTAGTCACAAAGAGAACTTGGTTTGATCTTACATTTACTGATATTTCTCTTCGCAAACTATAACAGAAGCACAGGGTGTGATTCATTTTTATAACAGCTTATAAGCCTATCACTAAATCTACTGACTGGAACTTCAAATCCTACTTGCAGTTTCTGTTGTGATAATAAGAAGCTGGTTGTAAGCTTGTGGCAATTGCTTCACATCAAAGAACTGCCCATTCCTATGGTTTAGCCTTGCCAAAAGAGAAATAGCAATTGACACTTCAAATTGCTTTTAGTATTTCTGAAAGCATGACCAGCTTCTGGCTTTGTTTCAGCTGCACCTTTGGAAAACACTGCCAAACTTCATCCAAACTGCAGCACCCACATAAAGAATGTTGATACATTGAAGTGCAAATATACTCTAGTGACATACTTTTTTGAAAAGAAAAATCCCATAAATATTAAAACATAAATGTCCTCACAGAATATATCATGGGATAAGATTCAATAGTTCAACAAACATCAGGTGAGGAGTTATTTATTGAGCTGGCATAATTCTCATATTTGGAAACTGAGGAATTGGCACACCTCAGAAGCAGACGGCATGCTTTCCAAGCAGATCGACCAACTTCTATCTCTGATATGTTCCGTTAAAACAGATATTAGAAGTCTTTTGCCATCTAGCTGTTCTACAACTACCACCACGCCTTATCAGTGGGAGATAATATTTCCTATATATGAATTTTAAAGACAGGGCCATCAAGAGTGAACTTGGATTCTAGTGAAAATCAGGTGTCTCCCAGATGTTTGACAAAATAAAAGTGGCTCCCAGATGTGCATGAAGCAAGGAAATAACAACAACAACAACAACAACAACAACAACAACAACAACATTTATATTCCACCCTTCTCCCCTATAGGACTCAGAGCAGATCACAGCATTTATATACATAGGCAAATATTCAATGCCTTTACAATCATATGCAATGAGTCACACAAAGACAAACAATGGCAGAGACTTCTCCTTTCATTTCCGGCTTCTGGAGGCAGTGCTCATCTCTGGCTTTGAGGAGGTGCTTTTTCCATTTTTCAAGCAAAGGCGCTTGAAGTAATTAGACAAATTATATTTCATCATGGCTCTGGGGAGGTGCCTTTACTCCATTTTCAAGCTGGGGAGCCTGCATTGTCACCTCCTGGTTTGTGTGGCCAGCAAGATTGCTTGGTGTGTCTTTTCCCACTGAAATGGTACATATTTATCTACTTGCATTTGTGTGTTTTCGAACTGCTAGGTTGGCAGTAGCTGGAGCTGACAGAAGGGACCTCATCCTGTCTCACGGATTCGAACTGCCAACCTTGCGATCAGCAGTTCAGCCAACCTTCAGGTCAGAAGTTCAGCAACACAAGGGTTTAACCCATTGCTCCACTGCATCCCAATGGGTTGTGGAAAGGGGCTCTTTGCCATTTACTCTCCTTCCTTCCCTGACACCTGCAAACCTGGGAGCCTCCTAGTGGGCACACCTATGACATTTCTAATGACAAAGGCCCCTTCTCACTGCCTGTATATCCCAGGATCTGATCCCAGATTATCTGCTTATTCCAGACTCATACGATCCGGTTTAAAGCAGATAATCTGGGATCAGATTCTGGGATATAGAGCAAAGTAGAATGGGCCATAGAAGATGGTGAAACAGATAGTATGGGAGGGACAGCAAGGTGGCTGTTTGGTGAAGGTTTTCAGTGCATGAAGCACCTCAGTCAGAGGCAGAAAGACTTTGATGCCATGTCAGGGTGTCTCACATGGCAGCGACAGGGATTATGTCCAGTGCTTGCTTCCTCTCTTGATCCCTTTGTAGATCAGACAAATATCTTTATATGGGATTTCAAACATTGTATATGGTTATTATTTTCTTGATATCTATCAGTTTTACAATGGTTGACAACATCAGTCACCAAGTAATGATATTACATAGAAATATATACCAGATAGCGGGGAATTTTGCATTACTAGATTTTAAGAGAGACAAAAGACACACAGGACTAGTCCTACTATTAATAACAAGAATGTGTGTGTCATCATTTCTACTTCAGCCCTAACTTAATTTCAACCAGTAAAAAGACCTCTGTTAATATTTCCTATTTACTGCTGCTTATGGCCATTTCATGAAAACAGCGTTTTTTATGCTTTGTCAATCTGGCGCCTGTACCTTGCCTGCTCCTGTCGACCCAGCAACAGCTAGCAGCTGCCCCTTCTCGATTTTGAAGCTGATGTCTTTAAGAACAGGAGCAAAATGAAGTTGGAAGTTGCTGAAGAAGAGACCATCACTAGTTGTTGATATTTTTCTACTGCCATTTTCCAGTTTGGCTTTTGTAAACAGCTCCCCATTTCCCTGTACAAAAAAGGAAAGAAAACCTAAACTTACATAGCAGCAAAAAGTATATCCTGCATATACATTACTGTGAGATTCCTCACTTCTTCTCTCATATTTCCTCTATTACTTTTCTTTTATGTTATATATACATAATATCACCACATTAGAGTAATTCCATACCTTAGTGTTGTTTCAATAAATGCTCATATTTTGAATTGGATCCTGGTTCCTAACCAGTATGCCATAGGTGCAATATAATGCTTATTTCATATTCTTCACCTAATAATTGCTTTGAACCCCAATTACAACCATATATATTCCAGAAATCAGCTTTCCATGTGTTATTTTTTTGGAGGGGTGGGGCTTCTTTGTATTAAATTCCTCCACCTACATTAACTGCAGTATGTTATCACAGTTTTTAACTATGGCTCTGGTTCAGCAGAATTTGTTTTTAAATATGTCACCATAAAGTGAAACTAATTTTAAGTTAAAATACTTTCAACATAATTATAATGAACACTAGTAGAAATGTATCACATAATCATAACTACAGTAACTAGAGTTACTACTCTGTGATCCAAATGATAATGTCTCAGCAAGCTAGGGTTCTGGATGTATGTAGTCAGGTGTGTAAAATAAATTTAAAAAAATTATAAATATGCAATACATATATCTCCACACAATAATACTAACATAAATTTATTTATGCCCCATGGAACATCAATGTGTATTTATTAACAAATGTGCTTTCAGGTCCACTCAGACCTGAAGGAACCTCTGTCATGTGATTTTCTTGGCAGTATTCATATGGAGGATATTTATTTTCTACCTAAATCCAAGGAAACTCCTCGGATCCTGGACCGGTGTTTGGCAGCTGTGATGGCCCGGATGAGGTCTAACAAGCTGAAACTAAATCCAGACAAGATAGAGGTCCTCCTGGTCAGTTGTGAAGCCAATCAAGGTATAGGATGGCTACCTGTGCTTGATGGGTTTACACTCCCCCCCGGAGGACACAGGTCCGCAGTTTGGGGGTCCTCCTGGACCCTGAAGGGCCAGGTGTGGGCAGTGGCCCGGGGGGCTTTTGCACAATTAAAGCTTGTGTATCAATTGTGCCCGTACCTCGAGAAGCCGAATCTGGCCACGGTGGTCCACACCTTAGTTACATCTCAAAATGATTGCTGCAATACACTCTACATGGGGGTGCTTTTGAAGATGACTCAGAAATTTCAGCTAGTAGAAAGTTCAACAGCCAGATTACTGACTGGAGCAGGCTGTAGAGAGTACACTACGCCCCTATTAAAGCAGCTCCACTGGCTGCCAATAAGTGTCCAGGCCCAATTCAAAGTGCAGGTTATCACCAACAAAGCCCATACCGTTCGGGTTCAGTCTGTCTATGTGACCTCATCTCCCCCTATGAACTTGCACAGGCTCTAAGATCTGCTGGTGAGACCCTACTCTCAGTCCCACCTCCCTCTCAAGCAAGGTTGGTGTGGCAAAGATGAGGGCCTTCCCAATTGTGGCCCCCTGGCTCTAGAATGCCCTCCCCAGAGAGATCAGGCAAGTTGCCACAATTAAATCCTTTTGGAGGGAACTAAAGACATGGCTTTTCAAACAGGCCTTTGTCAATGGTTAATGTAACATCTAAAATAGAATGAAGTTTTGCCCCGATGCTGATATTTTAATCCGATCTGTGGTTGGGACATTTAATCTGGTGTGTATATTATGGTTTAATTATAATTTATTGTTCATGTTTTATTGCTTATATTATTTTGAGTTGAGGTGTTTTATGTTAATCTCCATATGTTGTTCATTTTTATTTCACCTGGTGTTTATTTTTATTGATTTAGGCCCCCTCCCTCCCTGCCTTCAAGAAACCACTGAAGATGTACCTTTGCTCACTGGCTTAAGAGGAGGAGGAGCAGCAGTTGGTAATGCTACCATTATACCACTGATTAATAGCTACCATCCATATCCATGCCCTGTTCGCCCCACCAGCTCAATAGATATCTTGAGCAATGATCAAACTATTTGTCCCAAGGAACTGGGAAATTGATGCTTCTGTTCGATGTTTGATGTTTTGTCTTATGCCTGATATAACAATCTCTCTCTGTGTGTTTTTAAATAGTTAAGTCATCATTTGTTTTTATGTTGGGTAGCCAAATTTCTTTGCTATAGATGTATTGTTGTTGTTTTGGGGCACTGAATGTTTGCTCTTTATTATTGGAATCCACCCTGATTTTCTCTGGGGAGATAGGGCAGAATATAAATAAAGTTATTATTATTATTATTATTATTATTATTATTATTATTATTTCTGTTGTATATTTTATGTGTTTTGTTTTGCACTGTTGTTGTCTTGTAAGCCACCCCAAGTTCCTCCGGGGAGATGGAGTGGGATATAAACAAAGATTATTATTATTATTATTATTATTATTATTATTATTCCGCCTGAGTGTGATGTACCCAAGAACGCCCAAATGGGTGTGGGGACTCAGATCTTTTCTAGCAGAGTCTTGATTCAACACTCAAATCACTATGCCATGCTGGTTCTCAGGATTTTTGTAGTATTAGGTTAATGAGGATATAAAATTAGTTTTATATACACCTGGAGAATTTAAGGTTTTAATGATTCATTATTAGGCAAAGCCCTCTAACTTAACTACTCCACTATACACTGATAAAATGTAGGAGGTAACATATTATGGCATTCCTTTTACAGCCATCCCTTCTCTTAATCATGAAGTTTCATACTCTAAACTTTGAAGTACATGTTTCTAGCTCCATATCTATATGTAACATATTTAAAATTCTAATTGTATACAGAATTAAAATGGTACAGACAATTTTCAAACACCATTTATATGGTTTGGGTCCTTTGGCTGGAAAAAAAAGGGGATCAGAAATAGAGTGCTTGATAAAATTAACACAAATTGCCATTGAGACTCAAAATATTATTTTGATTTTCAATTGACAAATTAGAAGTGTATAACTGGAAATGTTCTAATTCTTTATATGAGAATAAAAACTCTTGTGGTTCTAATAAATAAAAAATCCTTTTAAAAAGAAACCTTTGGAAAAGAAAAATAAAACCCAAGAACTCAACAAAAAAAATAAAATCATAGTGTTACCTCATCCCAGAAAGCTGTTATTTTATCCAATTCCAGACCAGTAGTTGTCAAATTATATTCCAGAGTTTTGTATTCTTCTTTTTGCAAGAAATCCTGAAAATTGAAACGGGATTGTTTTTTTAGGAAGAAATAATATACTGAAATAAGTCCATTGAACTTTCTTTTCTTTTCTCATAAAATTTGATAATAAAACTTCAAATTGTGTCCTCACTAATGAAAATGCCATTTTCATCCAGAGGCAGCTTTCATAGACAAGCAACCAATAATAGCACCAAATATGATTTTGAACCTGTATTTCTGAACTTGAAAGTTATTTCATGTAACAATCAGAAACATTATTAAATGTTGTGAGACTGCAGCTCCCAGTAAATCTAGCTAGCATAGCCAACAGTAAAGAATGCTGGGAGTTGCAGTTCAACAATTATCGAAGGTTGCATGATTATCACCCCTTTGCTATTGTTATATGTCTTCCAAGTTGTTTCCACTTATGACAAACCCTAAAGTGAACCTCTAATTTAATTTTCTTGGCAAAACATGTTCAGGGGATGAGTTGCCAGAATTTGCCAGAATTTGCCCAGGGTCACCCAGTTAGTTGCGATAGCCATGTGGGCATTTTTTTCTTTATACTTTTTGCTTATTTTCCCGATCACTAGAATCAATTATGTATGAAAGATCTAGGACTGGCGTACATTTCCTCTTATCCTGCATCATATGGAGGCAAAGCTTTCTGTGTTCCACCCATTACGCTCCCTCTCAATCCCAAGCCTCCACTGCCTTGGAGGCTTCTGTGGATGCTGGAATTAAACTTCCAAGCACAGTACTCTCTCTCCAAGAGCTGACTTCTCTTTGCACCCTAGAAGGAGACACATCTGTTTTATAAGCACTGAGATCCTGTCTTAGGATCTTATCACACCTGGAGGGAAAGAGAGTGGTAGTGTCTTTCTCCCATCAAGTTCTCTGGTGTTCCATCTTAAAAGAAGATGGAGAATTTCTCATCTGAATCACACAGGATGCACGTCTTCCCATTTCTAGTTAAACTATGCACTTTATTCCTCACCACACATCTATCCTCCTTTTTAAAAAATGTTACTGTGACTGCGCAATTTCAAAACTTTGCAATTCTGCAACTGCATTTTTTTTAAATGTAACAAATATGTGGCATTGGTAGTCCACAAATGATGTAATAAAAGGAGGCAGCTGTTCTCGTCTCCTATTCCATCATCCATAGAGTGCCCAAGTCACAAATTCTTTACATTTTTTAAAAAAACATGTAATTGCAGAATTTCAAAGGTTTAAAATTGTGAAATTGCAGCAACAATTTTTTTAAAAAAAGAAGGAAATAATGATTTACCAGTCCTTTCCTCTATCGAATGAGTAATGGTGGCAGAGTGAGCATCAAACGACATGAAAAGACTGCTTACATGCAAGCCCACACTGAAACATCAGAAAACAAACTGAAAATGGGCAAATTTTCCATCCCACAGACAAGAGAACGAGCCATCCTTGTGGTCTCTACTAACTATATGATTGTATGCACTGCCTACAGTAAGTCTACCTTTGCATTCCAATTCCACCATGAATAGTTAAATAGCTCATAAGCTACTCATTATGAAATGACATTACATAAAGGGACTACAGTTTTACAGAGTAAGCAGATATTACATAGGATGAGAAATTTCACTATGAAAATAACCTAGTTCAAAACTAAAGCAGTCTGGTTGATTTTTCCCCTGTGATTTACAATTGCAGAATAACTATATCCAGATTATTTATATTTGTTGGATAATATTTGCCTTAAAAATCAGCACTTACTGAGGACTGCTTCATGCCCAAGCACTGTTTCTGATACAGGCTGCAATCCTCTGAGCAGTTGTACAGGAGTGTATTCATTTAATCTTTACAGCCAGCTCACAAATGTTTAGATTATTGTAGTTTAACTGATAGGAGTGACCTCACACAACTGACATTTTCCGCCTAACATCAGTAGAAACATACATCAAAACAGATTCTACAGATAGCATGTAACTAATGAAGTGCAATAAAAACACCATGACAGAGTTTAAATCATAAAGTAGTGTGATAATAGACTACAAAGGATTACTCTATATTCTTTCGGCAACTAGATTTATATACTATACCTGTATCTTGTTTATTGCTCCAAGAGAATCATACCATGTCTGCACAGCCCAAGGAAACTGCCTTGTGATGGCCATTCGAAGGACAATGCAGAATGAGATGGTGGTAAATATTTTCCTGAGGATAATTTTATCAATCAGTGCATATGGAAGCACAGCCAAAAACACCACAAAAAATCCAGAGAAGAAGAATACTGAGCTATTGAAATATCTCACATAAGCAGCTTTTCGGGTCAGCTTCAGTTCACTTCTGTCAAAAAAAGAAGTGCAAGATGTGGAAATTGTTGTAGAGTACCTCGTATCATCCTAAAATAAGAGGCAGTCTATGTTATGAAAAAAAAATTGGAAAACACATTAGTCCATGATATGGGCAAAGAGGATTCGAGTCTGCAATAAGATGGTTCTCTGATCCTGCATAGTTTTATTGTTGCAACAATTCGGTTAAACTGAGAAGCAGTGACTGATCCAAGTTCACCCTGTAAGACCTAAATGTTAATTCAACCTTCAGTTCAAACCTTTAACTATTACATTGCATTTTGTACATTTCCTAAAAGTAAACGATTGGACATCAGCAACATTTGGATGATAAAGACATGATAATTTTATTGAATTCATTCTATCAAACTTTTCACAAAATGTTTTATATACATTTTTTTCTGAATAGGATCAGTATGATTATTTTCTCTGTAAACTAGGAATATGAAAATATGAATATTATATTTCACTTTAATGACTAGGATAAAGGAGAACAATTTCCTAGTTATTCTGTTTCTTTTTCTTCAAAYTAAAAAAAAAGCTGGTGTAATTTTGAAGAGCTTCTAGACCTACAGACGTCAAGCTAACTATTATCTAAATAAATCCAGTTAAGCATTTTCATTAGTTATCTCCTTGAATTGCAACTATGGCAAAGTCTGTATTGATGCGCAATCCTAGACCAGGCTGAACAAATGGATAGATTGACAAGACAAAAARGACATTAACCTCACAATGTGATGKAGGCTTACTTAGGAGTAAGTTCAAATTAAATAAATAGAGTTTATGCCTCACTTACTTAGGCGACCCCTCGCAGCCTGAGGATGATGGTCCTCCAAGCGTAGTGTCTTGGTGGTGGGTCTGTAGGTGGCTGTGGAGCCCTATTCTTGATCTGCATGTTCTCCCGCAGTGAGGACATCAGTTTCCAGAGGGAAGGTGGTCCTGGTCAGGGCTGGCTTGATTTGCTTTCCTCTTGGCATGTTTGCCGTTCTTGAGTTGGGAATWTACTAACTYCTTTGGGAGAGGGTGATCGGGCATTCAGACAACATGGCCAGTTGATGGCGTAGGAGCATCACTTCAGTGCTGGTGGTCTTTGCTTCTTCCAGCATGCTGACATTTGTCCACCTGTCTTCCCATGAGATTTGCAGGATTTTTGGAGGCAACACTGATGGAATTGTTCCAGGAGTTGAGAGTGACACCTGTAGACAGTCCACGCTTTGCAGGCATATGGGAGGGTTGGAAGGACAATAACTTTATAAAGAAGCACCTTGGTCTCCCTATGGATTCCTGGTCCCAACTCTCTGCTTCATTCAGAAAAATGCTGTACTCGCAGAGCTCAGGCAGTGTTATATTTCAGTGTCAATGTTGACTTTTGTGGAGAGGTGGCTGCCAAGGTAGCAGAAATGGTCAACATTTTCTAATGTTACACCATTAAGCTGTATTTCTGGCATTGCAGAGGGATTGGCTGGTGACTGCTGGAAGAGCACTTTGGTTTTCTCGATGTTCAATGACAGGACAAGCTTCTCGTATGCTTCTGCAAAGGTGTTTAGAGTGGCTTATAGGTCTTCTTCTGAATGCACACAGATATGTATGCACATTTACATGTATGCGTAGGTTTATACCTAAGCATACATGTAAAGGGTTGCATTCAAGCTGAATTTTAAAAAGAAAAGAAAAGCAATCTCCCGAGATACATGCTAATGATAAAAATGTGGGGCTCTATAGATCTGATAAATTCTATAGGATTGCCAAATCATGATGCAAGTATTATCTGCACTACACTGATAAATTACAGAGTTCTTATCAGCATTACTTCAGACTGAATTAGCTTTCATACACCAATGTAATAATGTGATAGCAATGAATTGAGCTTTGGAGCACACTTTACTCCACTTCAGTACTATAGCAATATGAAGTTAATCATTCAAGGAATATACATAATTGCATTGGAAAGAGGAACTCTGTTCCCAGGGAGCTCCATGCCCTTTAAATTGTTTGGCAAGAGTATGGGGAAAATGCTAGACACTGAAGCAAACTCAAAGAGTTGCAAAAGACTCTTACCCACGAACTGTCTGAGTAATAAGGAAGCAAATCATATTCCATGTTGACAGCTAGAACATAATGCACATTATGTTGCGATGTAGAAAATACTTTGGCTCCAATTTACAGTTTATCAAGTGGCAATTAAGCACAAATTTTATTGGAGTTTAATAGGTAGAAATGTTACTTAGAGAATAGCTACAAGAGGCTGGACTTCAATTTAGAGTTTTCTGTCAGAAACTGCACATTTTCCTGGGATGACTTCAAATCACTACATAAAATTGGAATAGCCAGGAATCTGAACTAATTATTCCTTTCTGACCGATATCAGCACCTTGAGTTAAATCTACATTGCCAAATAATCCAGTTCAATGAAGGAGAAAAACATACAATATGAGAAATTAAGGTAAAATTTGGAGCTGGTATACCTATATGGTGCAGTGGTTTGTCTGTTGGACTGCGACTCTGGAGACCAGTGTTTAATGCACTCCCTAGCCACAGAAACCCACTGAGTGACCTTGATTGAGTCCCACAGCCCTAGAAAAACCCATGCCAGGGTCACCTTAGGGTCGCCATAAGTCGGAAATGACTTGAAAATGCACAACAATAGACTTGAACATAAAATAGACATTGTCATATCACAAAACTGGCAGTACTACTGACCGAAAGATCAGTGTTTCAAATCTGGAGAGTGGGGTGATCTCCCATTTGTTAACTCCAGTGTCTCATGCGGGAGAGAAGCCTCCCAAAGGATGATAAATCATCCAGGCTTCCCCTGGGCAACAGCCTTGCAGATGGCCAATTCTTTCACACCAGAAGCGACTTGCAGTTTCTCAAGTCACTCCTGACATGAAAAAAATCACAAATTAGAAGACCGAAATCAATACTTTATAATGTTAACATTGTGTTGACAAATCTAATACAATATAGAGATCAGTGTCCTTGTACCATTTTTTCCCCAAAATCTCAATTTTTCAAAATTAACTACAGAAATCAACGGTTAGTAAGCATTGATATATTTGTTATTCTTTCTCTGGCACATTTTTGTATTCTGTACCTCAAAAGTACATTCATGTTAATTTCATTCCATTTCAGAATATTTCTTTAGGATGGCTCCACACAGTGACACTATTTCCAGCTTGTAAATATATAAAAACCCACTAAATGTGAATGGAAATGTTGCAATATTTAACACTGCTTCTACTCCAGTTTAAAATTTACACAAATTATTCCAAGAATTAAGCCTACAAAGTGGCTTTCTCAAAAATGAAATATAATGACACAGTCACTTCTGTATATTAAACAAAAATATATTTTAAGGAAAACATAATCATATAACATTTAAAGAAATATATCATTTTCACTCTTCAGTATTGCATTGTCCTTAATTCAGGAATCTGAATTAATTATTCATTTCTGTCCAACATCAGCATCTTGGATTGATTCTACACTGCCATATAATCTATTTATATGGATTTATATGGATTATGTGACAGTGTACACAGGGCCTTTGAATTTTAAATACTTTCCCATCTTCCCACAAAATGTGAATTAAATACATTGCAAAATCAAAGTGTTCAAAGAAGTAAGTGATTTTAGTTATCTCTTGTTTTCTAAAGAAGGCAGTAGGAAGTGAAAAGACCATTGATTAATTATTTCATACTCAGACCTATACATGTTTTCTTCCTTATAATCAAGAAGGATGGGAAACCTTCATAGTTATCCTTGTTTTCATACTCCTGAGTGTCAGGAAATCCTCTCTGATCTTTTGCAAATTACAAATCATGAATCTACTTTCTGCCCATCCTGATCTAGAGTCTTATCTCCCAATCCTCCCAACAATCTGACAGCAGTAAAAAATAGCATAGTTCTCACCTAGCATAGCTCTTAATAGAAAATGGTTAATAATTTGCTCTATAGATTCCAAAAACATAGCATTTCTCCTATTAAAATGTATAAATATGCCATTTTGGATTTTAGTGTTTACCACATATACAAATTCCAGAGCTGGGCTTAGAACAGCAGGCTAAACTGAAAAGAAAACTCCTGCAGATCAGAAGGTCAGCAGTTTGAGACCGGGTCAGGGTGAGCTCCTACCATGAGCCTCAGCTCGCCTGCCCACCTAGCAGGTCGAAAGCAGAAATGTGAGTAGATAAAATAGGTACTACTTTTAGTGAGGAGGTAATAAAGGCACCCTTAAGGACACTGATTGGATGAAAGCTCCCTGGCATGGAAGATGAAGCAACAGCACCCCCCGTGGCCAGAATCGAGCACAGCCTCCAAGATGCTGGAAATAAGATGGGAAAAAACTACCTTTATGTCTGTTTGTGTTGTGCATCCTTTGTGTTGTGTGTCCTTGTTAATTGTACAATTGGCACTGAATGTTTGTCTGTGTGTGTTCTGTAAAGCTGATCTGAGTCCCCTTCAGGGTGAGAAGGGTGGGGTATAAATACTGTAAATAAATAAATAAATGACAGAGTCTGCACACTATTTCCAGACATCTACATAAGAATATTCCCTCCAAATATAGATGAAACATGTAAGTTGCATTCTCTCATGGTTGATTTCCAGATAATAAATAGGAATCAACCATACAGTTGAAACCAGCACATGCTGCTGTGAAATTGTTGGGAAGATTGGGAGATAAGACACTAGATCAGGATGGTCAAATACGTTTCTCTTTCATTCATAGTCAAGCATGGCACACAAAAATATACCTAATATGCCAGAAAGGCACTTAAAATGATCATGCTATATGGGAAAGACTAAGCTGTTCAAAAATGAGCTTTTTGGTCTTGTTTGCAGGGAATAAAAATGCCCCAATAAAAGAACATGACAAAATCTTGGAGGGATGAATGCCCATACTTACTTTCGCAGGTTTTCAATCATATTTTCCATTGCATTTTCCCAACAGTATGCCTTGACTGATTGTATGTTTTCAATCATTTCTGAGGTGATCACAAGTCTCTCATTGATTTTCCCTCCTCTCTGATCTCTGAAAAACAAATAACCACTTGTGTGTTTTATGCTTAGTACCAATCCTCTTGGGAGAGTTCCAACAATGCATTTTTTTTACTATGAACAGAATTATCAATCCATGAAATAAAGCTTGAAGAAAAATTAATTGGTTCATTCAAACAAAGATCACATTTCTACAAATATTTAAGTGCCATTTCAAATTACCTTTAAATTACCTATGCAATTGCACTGATACTGTGGTGCCTCCATTAAAAAAAACATAAAGCATGATCCATGGGTAAAATGTTTTCAGTAGAAAAATTCTAGTAAAAATCTATGCATGCTCACTAACATGTTAACATTTATGGGACAGTATTATTACTATCTATCCGCACAAACAAAGAGCGTTTGCCTAACAAAGGCCTCATATCTATTTTATTATCAGTAATAAAATGGTTGCAGCTAAGGGAAGGAAAGACAGAATAGGACTTTTTAAATGATGGAGGTGGCTGTGGGATCTTGCATTCAATGAAGAAATTAGAACTAAGTGTATAGTTTGGAGGGGAAAAGAGGACAGATATGTTTATTGAGATATGGCAACCATGTATTTGGTTTTGTAAAAGAATACATCTGATGCCCTGAGCTTCCTGCAATTTTAGTCCAAATATGCAAAAGATTTGCTACAGGACCCATCCATACTTTACAAGTTTGAAAGATTCAGTTATTCACAATAACAGAGAAAGAGAAAAAGAAAGAGACTAAACTATCCTCTTTGGGAGGATTTACTTTCATTTTTTTTCATATGATAGAGTATATATCTAGTTATTGTCATTCATCTGAATTATGTCTACTTTGTATTGATGTTTTCTGTTGATATTAAAATAGACTACAAAAACTATTTTTAAAACTTAAAATGAAAAAATAATTAATTGTCCACAATCCATTAAATTTTCACAAATTGTTTTAAAATGCATTTTATTGTTGCACATTAACTATACTATTTTTGAGGGATTCAGCCTAGAAAAGGGGGCTGAAAATGCATCTTTAACTCTAGTATATATGGTAAATACTTTTTTGGAACTTTAATTCCTTATTAGTCATTTAAAATATCACTGTTAAACTATTATGTAATAGAATTTTATATTGTTGGTTTATATTGTTGTTATTGATACTGTTGGCATTGAATTGTTGCCTGTATTAGCCGCCCTGAGTCCCCCCTCGGGGGTGAGAAGGGCGGGGTAGAAATGGTGCAAATAAATAAATAAATAAATAAATAAATAAATATGTGTATTAATTTTATTAGTTTTAACTAATATATTTAAATAATTTAAGGAACAAAAACATGTTTTATACATTTCCTCAATGTTTTAACATGAATGAATTAGGGTTCTATACTGATACACTGTTAGTGGGTTAGCGGTGACACTAATGTTTCCAAATGTCTGCAGAGAAGTATCTTCATCAGCTTCCACCCCACCTGGTTGCATCTGACAGAGGGAAAGGGGCTGGGCAGTGAAACTCCCTCCATCTTTTATCGTGTTGATCCAAAGAGTATGGTGAAAAGACAGTGAGATCAAATTGATTTCATATTTCAAATGGGACCACAAACTATTTGATTCCCTAGCTCTCATAATGGCTTCCATCAACAAGTAGTTCATCATTTTATACTCAATATTTTACTTTGTAAAAAAAAACTTTAATTGCACTGATAACAGCTACATATTAACGTCCAAATCAATAACTAGGTTAACTAATGTCGACAAATCTGAATACTTTTGATTTTCCAAAAATCAGAAATATGCACAGGGCAAAATACATTTAAAAGAAGGCCATCAATATATACATCTTCAAGAAAGTTTTTCAGTTTGACAAGTATTCAAGAACTAATCAGAATTAAACATTACAATTATTTTTCTCTAAAGGTATAAAGCAGGGTCTACATTTGGCCTGTAATTCCAGAATTACTCTAGTAAACACTTTGCACTACTGATTACTACCATCTGAGTACTAAAATGTTTCAAGATACAATGACTGCCTTGTTTCAATTGTAGGTTATTGCCAGTTTCTACCGTCTGAGTACTAAAAAGATTCAAGTATATGACAATCTTGTTTTAATTGTAGGCTCTTGCCAGTTTCTCGCCTTGAGTCACCACCGGCCTAGAGAAAGGTGGCGTAGAAATGTCGTAAATAAATAAATTCTATTTAGAAACTTTAATGTACAAATGCAATATTTTAAAGAAATACCAGAAATATGCTTTGTCACCTGTATTTCATCATCATTCGTCCAAGCCAGGACTGGAAAAGAGCGACGACAATTAGGAGAGCAAGTCCACAAAACGCTGAAGCCTGCAACATCTCCCAGAGAAGCCCCATAAGCAACACCACTTGCAAAGGAGCTATCCACACAAAATGAGCCAAGGCTAGACCCTGGAATAGAAAGATGACAGCAAACATAATCTGAGACTGCATAATGTAACATGAAAAAAGCATTTGGACAGGAGGAGTGGAGTGTTGTAGCCTTCTCCCTACCTTGTTACAACTCAGTCTCCATTGCTCACCCCCTCAATCCATCACTGACCCAACAGTTTCTGACAAAATAAGGAGTTGATCTGGGCTCACTTTCTCAAACCTAGTAACTATTTTTTGAACCCTAATCTCAATAAAGTCTTCAGAGATGCTAGTGATTCTCCCCAAGCCTTTTCCCAGTCAAATAATTGGGGGGGGGGGTAAAACAGGTATTTACCTCTTTCCTTTCAAGTTCATTTCTTCATTGTTTTATTCTTTTGCTTCCATACACATAAGAAACTACAACTAGTATGTTCTTTCCTTACCATTTTGTTCTCCTGACAAATATATCAGATCAGCTAGCTTGGGAGACACTGATAAGACCAAGGCCTTGCTAGATGTATTCAAACTGATTAAAAAAACTAGAAAGCCCCAGATTTTTCCCTCTCCTTTCCAACTTTATTGCAGATATTTTTTTAAAAAATCCCAGAATATTTTTATTAGCTCCTGGCATGGGGACTTTTTATTTCAGCTCCCCAGATCAGTTTATTTTAACCCAGTATGAAATAAGAAAGAACAGGAACAAAATCTGGGGACTTTTCAATCAGATCCCTTTTTATATTGCCATATAAAATCCAGATTATCTGCTTTAAAGTGGATTATATTATAGCGTAGACTCATATAATCCAAAGCATATAATATGGATTATCTGTTTTGATAGTCTGAATTATATGGCAGTGTAGAAGGAGCCATATATACAAATATTCTCAGCTCTTTCCAGAGCAAAGTTCAAAGGCTAAGTGTCTGAATGAGAATACAGATAATATGCCTGCTGAAAACCCTGATAGGACAAGCAGAGCAGCTTACTTTCACCAACAGAGGAAAATTATATGTGTTCAAGAACATGAGAAAATCACATTCTTTAGATTATTTTTAGAATTTGGAGTAAGTGTCAGCTTTTTGTCTAAACTTGTCCCATAAGTTCTAGAATAGCAACTAGTTTCTCTAATAGACCTGGATGTTCGAACAGGCATTTGGCTAAGCAGTGTGACTGATTGATTGATTATTGGAACACGGAATAATGGATAACGAGTTTGGATACTGATTCTAGTGATGAGACCTGATGGATTTGCTATACTGATGTAATTTTGTATTGATGTTATGTTTATTGATTTGTGATGCTATTGTTTTAAAGGCCTATTGTCTGTACTATGTGTACTGCTGAACCACTCCGAGTCGCCTAAGGGCTGAGAGGAGCGGTATACAAATGAAGTAAATAAATAAATAAACTCCAATAGTAAATGAACATAGAGTCAGCCCTCCATATTTGCTAGGGTTAGGTGCACAGGATTCCCCATGAAAGTGAAAATCATGAATAAAGTTTTTTTTTTATCTGAGAAAATACCTCAATAGGAATTTCTAGAATTAACTTCATGTTCAACTTCCACTAAAAGCTGACAATAGAATCTCACTAGAGGACCTAGACATTATCAGAGAGATGTTTTCTTTAGAAATATCTAAGACTTCCAGAATGACTGGAAGAAATTGGCCATGGAGTCATACTGGAAGATCTAGATATACCTAGAGAAAACCCTTTAAATTAAATCCATGAATAATCTACAAAAGTCAAAACCACAAATGTAGTGGCAATCCCAGAACCCTGTGAAATAAACAAGGGAAAATGGAAGCTTCAACATGTAATTCTTTGTTACTATCAAATTTAAAACTTATAGCCATAGAATAACACGTTAAAGTGGATCCAGCAGTAAATCAACAAAACATTGCCAAACACACCCTTAGACAATCCAAAATGTGATGGAATGTGGAGAAAAGAATATGCCAAGTGAGATAAATGTTGGCAACTGTGTACTATACACATTACTTCACCATTTCTTGTTTTACATGTAAATCCAAATAGCCAGCATGATAGATTTTAATATTTTAAACAAAGTTGGAATCATTTCTAATACCGTGAGGCTTTTGTCTTGGAATGAGCTTTAACTCTACAGTTAATTACTGCCAGTTAACTTTGTTTCAGGTAATGCTCAGTCCTTTTACTTAGTTTGCAAAATGTAAATATCATTCTCTTGAAAAGATATTATAAGCATATTATTATATTAGCATCAACATACTTCATCAAATTTATTCAGATTGTTTGAAAGAAGACTAACGAGTTGCCCGGTACTTATTTTATCTAGGACTCTGCTTGACAATTTTAAGGTCTGCAAAACAAAAATAAAATAAAAATTACAACAGAGATTCATGTGACACAAATTAAAATTAAAATGCTTCATAGCTATTATCAGCTTGGTGCTGATAATTGCCAGTGGGTTAATACAAACTGTTTCCTACATATACAAATGATAGGAGGACAATCCTATACATACTTTCCTGGGAGAAATTCCCATTGAAATCTTCTAAGTAGACTTTCATAGAATTGTACTTACTCTACATGTGTTTTCTCATTTAAGTAGATCTCACTGCATTTAATTAAGTTTACACTCTAGTAAGTAAAACCTAAACTTGTTTTATCTACCACATTGAGCAAATGCTGATTATTTCACTGGATATATTGCTAATTTTGTATCACACATTTATATAGGATATTATTCACACATAACGGAATTGATTCAGATGTAATAGCAAAATCATCTAACTATAAGCTCTGAGCTGTGGACTTGCAAGCATCTTCGCATAATCTGATTCTGTCCGGAATTTGCATTTGCTTTCCAAATGAAACTTTGAAATCCACTTCAAATCATCATTCGATTACTTCAAATCATGATTTCCAATTCTGGGTTGGAACATAAGAGTAAACCATTTTGTTTGTTGCTTGATAATTTAAAAAAGCATAGAAGATGTTTTGCATAACCCAACACAGAAGATGGCTTGCATTTTAGGCAGAATGGGACAGGAAAGAATCACAACACAATGAATTAAGGTCTCAACTTTATGACTCTATACAGTGTTTCCCAACCTGTGGTCCGTGGACCACCAGTGGTCCGCAAGAATGAAAACAAGGTCTACGTCCTCACCATTACTACACATTGCCTCAAAACCACATGGCAGCGAGAGCGACTAGTCTCGCAAAACCCTCTTATAGTGGCGAGGCAACAGGGATGTTGGGAGAAGAGAGGCTGACTACCCACAAAAGATTAATACTACTACATCAGCTCTAGATTGTTAAATGTGTTTTTCTGTAGGTGAGCAGATGGCAACTACTGGATGGCATATGTTCTATATCATAAACTAGAGCTGATGTGGTCTATCCAATGCGGTTTTCTGAATTGGCTCATCCAAATAACCAAACCAAATTTAAAGTTGACCAAAAACTGATTCGTAACACTTTTGGTACGAATGTTGGAGAGTGATCTCTGTTCAAGTGGTCCCTGGTCAAAAAAAGTTTGGGAATCACTGCACTATAGATTCCAGGCATTGCACAATCTGGCACTGGCAAGTGAGCAAACACCTAAGTAACATATCTTTTACTAATGGTATTCCGGGCCTAATTGCTGAGAGCTGTATATGTAGATTGGAGCCATAAAAATTCTCTCTAATTCAAATATGTTTTAATGTTATCACATAGGTTCAATAGATCAATGTATATTCCTAAGTCAAATGATCACATCTTGTAGAATGCTGAATAATTATTTATTTGTTTGTTTAAAATTTGTGTAAACAAGAATTCACAGATGGGTGTGAAGCAATAACGACATTGAATAAAAGAATAATAAAATGGCTATAACATCTGAAATAAATAATATCTTTAAAAAACAAAAGTACATCCTTAAATGAAAATTAAATCCTTAAAAACCAGACTCTATACTGCGTATCAATTAAAAAAATTATTGAACATCAAAAAGATGGCACTTTCCATGAGATAGATTATTTTCTCATTAGCAATGCAGAACTTTGTACTTTATTTAAACAAAAAATAGAAAATATACCTTTTTATAAATTAAGCTGAACATGGCTATCCTTATCTGCATTCCAATGTGATGCAAGCCAAATATTGCTGGGTGAAGAAGCAACATCCGTACAATGAAGAGAAGGCATAGTCCTATGGCTAAATAGTAAGCTATTGATCGTTCAAGCGAATTGGAAGGATCATATGAAGCTATTATTCTTCCCAGTAAAAGTGGCTGCACAGATTTAGTAACTTCCTGTGGAAATAAAAAAGTGAAATGTAATTTTCCCCATTTCCCCAAAACATCTTAAATCTGCTGTCAGATGTATTTTACCCACTCCTACCTTAATTCTATACCTTTTCTGTAATGAAAGCAAGGGGTGATTAATTACTAGAAATACTATATCAGTGAGAATTATTCAGTTGTCATGAATCTTTATGCTGTTAAAGACTTTGGCAATATTTTTATAACTTTAATCCATGACTTCCTACTTGTAGTTCATATTGCTAATTAAATTACCATTCCGCATAAATATTCTTTAAAATAATGGGGAATTTCCACCCTTTAAACATCTTGAATCACTCTTACAATATACAAAAGGGAGTTAAAACACATTAAGACTTAATCCTCATTAAGCGTTGTGATGTTCCCTTGGGGAACTTGGAACAATTTATGTGGAATAATCAGACAGTGTGAGTTACCATAACACTGAACCAATTCAGTATTGAAAAGTGGCCTGTCATTTTATTTTTATTTTTTTTAATCTAACCTCAAGACAAGCACTTCATTTTTCGTAAAATGCAATTTACTGGGCAGATTCTTTTCTTTTTCCTGCAAAGAAGTTGATTTGTCTTTTAGAAGCAATGGAAAGAAATGAAAAAAAATAATATTCTCCAGTAGTCTCAGCTGTTTCTCGATGTCCTAAAGTAAAGAATAGATGAGACATAACTGAAGTTCATGCAGTGTCACTGAAATACTAATTTTTTCTGATCTTAAAAGCGATGTCTGATAAAACAAGATCCAAGAGATTAAAAGGCAAGAACAATATATTAATAATTAAATATGACTCAGAGCTATCCCATTGAAAGATTTAAAATTGATAATTAAAGCATTATTAATGTAAGTATAAATTCACAAAAAAACTTAACATGCTAAATAAACATTTAAACTTTTTAAATATTGGGACCTTTTCAGAGAGGACACTTTATCTTGAGTATTTTTGCTCTACATGTCAGCTGAATAGGGTTTCCAGGATGGTTTAAAAGATGTAACCTATTACAGAACAGATGAAAGACAGGAACTTTCACATCACTAGTGGTCACAAACAGCTCCCAACTGAGACTCGTGAATGCATCATCAGGAAACTACAACTTATTCTGGAAACGGTTCTACCTTCTTAAGGGTTCCTAGTGTCATGCCTTTATTGCCTTCCAGTCTCAAAGAGTTACTTACTGAAAGACATGCAGCATGGATGGATACATGGGTACCAGACATTGCAACAAAGCCTGGTACCAACTTTGCCCATACATCTACTCAGGAAACGTCATCACAGGACCTTATCACATCAAACATTAGAGGTACTATCACTTTCTCAACCTCCATTGGAATACATCCCGTCCTCTGTCAACAATGCCCTTCAGCACTCTACACTAAGCAAAGAAACCAATCTATGGACCACAGGATAAATTATCATAAACCAGTCATTAGGAACAGGAATGCAAAAAAAAAAAAACCAATTGCAAAAGATTTCAGTTTTCCAAGACATTCCAACCCAGACTTCAGAACAGCAGTCCTGGAAGAAGAAAAACCTTCATAGGGAGTTTGGAAAGAGAAACAGTAGATTTGGGATATATCTACAAACTTCAGTTCACTGACAGTGGGTTGAATCTAAACTGCCACTGATCTGGATAACTCCTGTCAGCACTGAATTCAGTGTAGCATATTTCCCAAATGTTAAAAATGCATTCTTACAGTTTGTGAATGCTGTAATATTGTGAATACAGTAACAGAACACATCTTTATTTCTTCTCAAAAGGATGGCATGCTCTCTGATAAACCACTATGAGTCCATAGCGTCTTAAGAGTGCTGCCTCTCTACACCTGAGCAAACTAAAATTGTCAGATATTGAAATAATGACCTGACTATAGTACATAATATTGCTGCAACCAAAGACAACAAAATGTTCTTCTTTATTTCTTTGTTTAAAGTAAGATTTTTTCCTTACTTTGAATACATTTCTTATTTTTATACATACTTATGCACAGCTATATTAGATATTATAGATCAACATACACAAACGTACATATTTGCACTACTTAGCACATAATATTTATTTTTCTCACTCCTGATGATCTTAATGCCCTTCAGCCTACAATCTGATCACATTACCTAAATTCCCCATCCTACAACACTTTCTCGATGCAGGAGACACAGAGACCACTGGATCTTATTGCACGATATACATCTACTTCCGGTGGGGCTCCATGCTGGCTGCTTCAAGGATGTGTGGTAGGAGCAGGAAACCTGAACACAGGAAACTACCCATGTTGAGGTTAGGAATCATGGGATCACGCCAGAAGGCCTGACAACCTGGGATCACGCCGGAAAGCATAGCAATATTATGGCCTATAGTAAGGTCATTATTGTAAGGTAAAGGTGATGCATGCCATATGCCAGCAAATATGGAAAATACAAGAATGGCCATCAGACTGGAGAAAATAAACATTTCCCCATACCAAAAAAGGAAAATGCTAAAGAATGGTCAAACTTTTGTACAATGGCACTTATTTTTCATACCAGTAAGGTAATGCTCAAGATCCTGCAAGGAAGACTCCAGCAATATATGGAGAGTTGCTGGGTTTAGAAAAGTCAGAGGAACGAGCGACCAAATTGCCAATATCCGCTGGATAATGGAGAAAGGCAGGGAGTTTCAGAAAACATCTATTTCTGTTTTATTGACTATTCTAAAGCCTTTGACTGTGTGGATCATAATAAATTGTGGCAAGTTCTTGGTGGTATGGGCATACCAAATCACCTTGTCTCTCTCCTGAGGAATCTGTATAAGGACCAAGTAGCAACAGTAAGAACTGACCATGGAACAACAGGCTGGTTCAAAATTGGGAAAGGCGTATGACAGGGTTGTATACTCTCACTCAACCTATTCAACTGGTATGCAGAACACATTGTGCAATGTGTGGGGCTTGACAAATGCTATCCTGGGGTAAAAATTGCTGAAGAAACATGATCAACCATAGATATGCAGATGATACCACTTTGATGGCCAAAAGCGAGGAGGACCTGAGGAGCCTTCTAATTAAGGTTAAAGAATAAAGTGCAAAAGCTGAGTTGCAGTTAAACATCAAAAAAGCCAAGATTATGGCAACCAGACTGATTGATAACTGGCAAATAGAGGGAGAAAACATGGAGGTCGTGAAAGACTTTGTATTTCTAGGTGCAAAGATTACTGCAGATGCAGACTGCAGCCAGGAAATCAGAAGAAGCCTACTTCTTGGGAGGAGAGCAATGACCAATCAAGATAAAATAGTGAAGAGTAAAAACATCACACTGGCAATGAAGATCCACATAGTTAAAGCAATGATATTCCCCATTGTCACCTACGGATGTAAGAGCTGGACCATAGGGAAGGCTGAGCAAAGGAAGATAGATGCTTTTGAATTGTGGCATTGGAGGAAAGTTCTGAGAGTGCCTTGGACCACGAGAAGATCCAACCAGTCCATACATCAGGAAATAAAGCCCAACTGCTCATTGGAGGGAAGGATACTAGAGACAAAGTTGAAATACTTTGACCACATCATGAGGAGACAGCAAAGCCTAGAGAAGACAATTATGCTGGGGAAAGTGGAAGGTAAAAGGAAGAGGGGCCGACCAAGGGCAAGATGGATGGATGGCATCCTTGAAGTGACTGGACTGACCTTGAAGGAGTTGGGGGTAATGATGGCCAACAGGGAGCTCTGGCGTGGGCTGGTCCATGAGGTCACGAAGAGTCAGAAGCGACTGAATGAATGAACAGCAACAAAACAAGGTTATTATTTTAATATGGGCAAGTGAATGGTGCAGGAGATGCGGAGGATCAGGTAACTGATTTGCCCCACAATTTGCTATGGTGCCGTACAAGTCCTACTGCTGTCCCCAACATCAAGGACCTCAATGTGTTCTGCTCCTTAGTCCAGGCTCAGAGGAACTGTATGTGTGTGTGTGTGGGGGGGGGGGGGGGGGGGGGGGGGGATAGCTAACAGCCATTAGCAAAAGTCAAAAGTGTGTTTGGAGATAAGAGCCCCATATAGAATGGATTAAAAGCCATGGAAGATATACCTTGTGGGAAGCACTAAGCTTGAAAAAGAAATTAAGCATAGATGCCTGCTACTAAACTTAGATGAACCAAAGTTATTACCTATTTCTGATTGTTGATATAAAGGGAATTTAGCAGTATTTCCCCAAGAACAATCACGTCAGACTATGACTGTCCTTTGCTTTTTGTCCTTTAAATGACCTGTAGCCATCATTACAAATGGATTTCTTACTATTATGTGTAATCACTTCCTAATAGATGAACAAGTAAGAGGGAGTTGCTATTCATCTGGTGTTTTCAGAAAGCCTATACAATGAATCATATAGTTCCTGTTTTAGGTACCCACATAATTTTACATGACTACATATAATTTTGCAAAAAGACAAATACAACAAGCTTGTGTTTGACCAACACAGCAGTGTTTTTAGTACACAGGGAGTAATATTTATAAAAGAACAATTAAAAAGAAAATTGAGCAGGTGTGTTGAATCCAACCACTTCTAAGATGAACCTTAAAAGCCAAATCATAATGAAAGCTGTTCTGTATTTGTTTATATGTACGTATGAAACTCAAGGGCAAGAGAAACACAAAAATTCACTAAAATGCACAGTTGAGTAATATCTCTATTAGGATTATTGTAAATATCACAAAACAATGAGAAACCTTTTCAGTTTTTCATCAGGCTAGGTAAAAATATTCACCAGGCTAGGAGTTACAAAAACAAAATGGAGAAGGGGGAAGAAAAACAAGTATAAAATTGACCCGTATGTTTTGGCTGATGGGGTTTACATTTTAGACCCAATCTCAAATTGTTGGTAGAATACTACTGAATGAATTAATCATATCTAGATACACACAACATCCTGGGCCAGAACCAATTGCTAACATAATTTTTAATTGTCAGTTATTGTCTCTAGTTTGGGTGGAGCACACATATTCCAGAAAACAGACAGAAAGAAAAAACATGACAACAAAATTGGTGATAAATTTTAAGTGGTGGATGAGTAGCAGGGCTTGGTTGGAACCGAAATCAGTTTGTGTAGCATTATGCAATGGTTGGAAGGAATGAAAATTTCAAAACACAAAATATATGTGGTAGAAAAAACATCTTCCTCTAGTTATAGATTCAAACCTAAGGATCTAGTGCTGTGTTGTCATCTATGAAGCACTGAGAACGCTAATCTTTGCTACTGTTTCTTGTGTATACAGCACAAAGATAAGAAATGTGTTGTCAGATTATTTAGTGAAGTGATTTATAGCATTTATAGAAAAACAGAAGGAGTTACTACAAATAATAAATCACTTTACTTATTGACCTTAAAGGGGTGTGCAGGGTGAGAAAATAAAACAATATTGTTTCCTAAGAGATATGGCTACATGTATATGCACAAGTTTCTTAGGGTTTTTGAGTGAAGTGAGAATGGATGTGAACAGGTAAAAAGGCATGTCAGTGGCAGTGGCATTTAGAGCACACTGGAGTATACAGTGGCTCTATCTATCTATCTATCTATCTATCTATCTATCTATCTATCTATCTATATTTCAATGAATAACAAGGTTCTTAGAAAAACACTGGAGATCCTTTCTTCAACCTGTAATAAATCATGGCGATTTTGAATAATTTTTAGTCTTTCTGTTTGCTGGACGCTGGACAGAGGAAATACAAGGAAATCAAAAAGAAAACAATAGTAGAAAATTTGAAAAATGTAACTTTTAAAATTGTATTTTGGTAAAAATAAAACAAAAATAAATTAAGGAATGATATTTCTGTACATTCTTGAAGCACGTTGCAGAAAAATTACACTAATTTTGGCACAATAAAACTTTGGCAAAAAAAAAAAAAGCTCAATTTCCCCCATGAATCATTCTTTTTGATATCAATCATAAACTTTGCTGTATATCATAATGACATGTTGCACAATACTAATTGATTGCCTCACACACAGCAGTGTATTTCACATTGAGATAATATCTAAAGCAAATAAGAATGTGGCAAATATCTACATAAGTATGGCCGTAACTACTTCTACAGTCCTGGATCAGGAGATGTAAGTCAGATGACTGACTGGGCACCAACACAGATCAGGAATAAATTACAGACAACACACACTAAAAGTACTAGCACCTAAATCGAAACGTTTGATTCCTATATTGGGTGGGTAAGATATATGGGTTCTCTGAGTCAGAATTTTGGTACATATTGTATTTACTTGAATTTAACGCTCACCTATTTTGGCTTTCTCCCACCCTGGATATTCCACATATATATAACCTTCACTTGCCTAGTTTCCAACAGACCTCACAACCTCTGAGCGTCCCTGCCGCAGATGTGAGTGAAACGTCAGGAGAGAATGATTCTGGAACATGGTCATACAGCCTGGAAAACTCACAGCAATCCAGTGATTCTGGCCATGAAAGCCTTCATCAATAGGGATAGGAGGGATAGCCAATAGTCCAGAGGACAGGAGCAGAATTCAAAACGATCCTGACAGATTAGAGATGGCCAAAACTAACAAAATGAAGTTCAACAGTGACAAATGCAAGATACTCCACTTAGGCAGAAAAAATGAAATGCAAAGATACAGAATGGGGGATGCCTGGCTCAAGAGCAGTATGTGTGAAAAAGATCTTGGAGTCCTCGTGGACACAAGTTAAACATGAGCCAACAATGTGATGTAGCGGCAAAAAAAGCCAATGGGATTTTGGCCGGCATCAATAGGAGCATAGTGTCTAGATCTAGGGAAGTAATGCTACCCCCTCTATTCTGCTTTGGTTAGACCACACCTGGAATATTGTGTCCAATTCTGGGCACCACAATTCAAGAGAGATATTGACAAGCTGGAATGTGTCCAGAGGAGGGCGACTAAAATGATCAAGGGTCTGGAGAACACGCCCTATGAGGAGCGGCTTAGGGAACTGGGCATGTTTAGCCTGAAGAAGAGAAGGCTGAGAGGAGATATGATAGCCATGTATAAATATGTGAGAGGAAGCCACAGGAGGAGGGAGCAAGCTTGTTTTCTGCTTCCTGGAGACTAGGACGCGGAACAATGGCTTCAAACTACAAGAGAGGAGATTCCATCTGAACATGAGGAAGAACTTCCTGACTGTGAGAGCCGTTCAGCAGTGGAACTCTCTGCCCGGAGTGTGGTGGAGGCTCCTTCTTTGGAAGCTTTTAAGCAGAGGCTGGATGGCCATTTGTCAGGGGTGATTTGAATGCAATATTCCTGCTTCTTGGCAGGGGGTTGGACTGGATGGCCCATGAGGTCTCTTCCAACTCTTCGATTCTATGATTCTATGATTCTATGAACACATTGACTAAATAACCTTGCCAAAATCAGGATGTGCATTAGATTTATGTAATAGGGTAATCTTAGTGCTGAACCAAAGCAACAGGGGAAGCTGAGCACCAGGAGCTTTTACTTTAGGGATGTCACATTTAATTTAATTGTCACAGCTCAATGCTATATGATCCCGGAATCCAAAGTTTTGTGAGGCATCTGCACTCTTTGGCAGAGAAGACTCAAAGCCTTGTAAAACTACAGCCCCCATAGCATTGAACCAAGGCAGTCAAAGTGCATTCATTCTGTAGCATAGATGCACCTCAAGGTTCCATTGCTGAAAACTTTGGTGTTCTAACACAATTGTTTTTAAATAAGGAATTTTAAGCAGGCAGCAACTGCAATGGGCATATTACAAAGAGTGCGCCTTTTGCTGCTGCCCATTACATTCGCTAGCAAATACTTTTTTTGTTCTGGGGTTACAAAAATTGTGGTCACATTAAATTCAATGGCACATTAGACTTGAGTAAATACAGGTATATCCTACTGAATAGGAAATATGTAAAAAGGTAGAAAATGGAATTTGGTACATATCAGTAGTGGGCAAAATGAATTTCCCAAGACCCTCTAAGGGTTAATATTTGTTGCCCCAAAATGGGTGAGGGGCATTTCTATCATTTTGGAGAGTCTTCAATGTACCACCACAAAATGCTTTCTGTGGTCTGGGGGGGGGGGCTGTTTAGACCCAGGCCTTTTTGAAACAGATAGTGCCCTTGGAATGCAACTGGCAACTGGAAAACCAACATTTGGGAACCACTGTATTAGGAGAAATGCTCCTTATACATTTTGGTGGCCGTTTTCTGCACTTTTTCCAGATTTGGAATAGCCTTTTCCTGGTGTGGTGGCCAGACCTGTATATAGTATTCAGATTGTGATCACAATGTGAAGGCCAAATAAATAACATATCCTTGTCCTGTTATTTTGTTTTATGACAGAGAATATTTTTTTCAAAACTATAGTGTGTCTTAAAACATGTGCTATTTACTTAAAGAAAAACATTGACTTTGTCTATATTATCTAGGGAGGAGATGGAAACATTGCACTATCCAAATGTTGTTAGACTACTCATAATTACTAAGCATTATTGGGCATGCAATCTGAGCCCCAATAGGAGTTACAGTTCAACAACATCTAGAGAGGGGTCCCCAAAAGAAGGCCCACAGGCTGGATGTGGCCCACCAAGGTCATTTACCTGAGCCCCGCCATAAACTTTAGACTTAGGATGCTTTCATACAGCTCCAAAATCCACATTTTAAAAATGGTTTGAAAAATCCTGTGACCTGGCAGCAGGTCCACACACAGACCTGTCAGTCCTGGGATATGATCCCCACAGTCTTCTTTTGAAGCAGATCAAGATGGAAGGCAGATGGGGGACATCCAGTGGAAGTTTTTTTGTAAAAAAAATGCCCTCTGTTATATGCTAGACCGTATATATGCACATGCTAATATCTTAATAGAAATATAAGCAGATTTGCATGTGAGTATATAAGGTCCAGCGCATAACAGAGGGATTTTTTTTTAAAAAACTTCTTATAGATCTCTCTCTTCCTCCAATTATTAATTCAACCTATGTTTAAGATTATAAAGTGTAAAAGAAAGAGTTTCAGAGAGTTCTAATTGCTTTCCATTTGTGCTTCCCTTGAGCTACCTGTCCGATTGACAGCCCAATCAGCTGATCAGTTGTGTAGAGCTTTTAAAAAGCTCACTGCGCTGGAGCAGTCTACACAAGGGGAAGGGAAGGGAAGTATGTGCTTTGCATGACTGCAGAGATATACAGTCATAAAAATGTGCCCTTTTTCATGCTGAATTGGGTCTTTAAGCACACCCTTTTAACACGTGCTTTTACCTCTTAACCCAATCCCTCGCTACTTTGGCTAAACATTGTTTAACCATCCCCTTCCCCTTTTAACCCAGTTATTTACAGGTTTTACATCACATGTAGAAGGGCTCTTAGGCTCGCCCTAAATTTGAAATGACTTGAAGACACACAACAACAGTCCTAATTAACTTGAGAATCTTAGCTGAAGCGATTTTCTTATTTCCCTTTTCAGGTGAGAAAAATAATAAACACAAAATTTTAAATTAATGTTATATCACATAGCTATTGTGAAAACAGAGGAGAGCAAAGGTTCTGTTGAATACATAATGATTTAGGAGATGCATTTTGAAGAAGCAATTTATAGAGAGTCCAGGGGTTTAATTTAACGACATCTGTATTAAATATTCTTGCACAGCATTAATGGAAATTGGAAGCATATTACTCTTTAGAATTTGCAGGAATGTGATATGATGCTAGAAGAAAACAATACATTCATTGTAATTAGGGGGGAAACCTTACCCCTAAATATAGTATTATTCCATAGAATGTAAACCTCCAAAAGAAACAGCGTCTGAGAGCATTGATGAGTCTAGGTTTTTTCTTTGAAGCCAACTCTCTGTCCCATTCTCTGGTGGAAGAAAAAAGACCATTAAGATGCGTAACCAAGAGGCCATAGCATAGTTCATTTCACCCAAGTATATCCAAGGAGATTCAGCTACAGTGATTAATGAAATAAAGGCTTTGCAAAGACTCTGAAGATTTGATCTTCAGTGTCTTGATAGCTCAATAAAAGTTCAAGTGTAGTTCAGTCACATATTTGGCAGATTTAAATATCGGGCTATACATCATTCTGCAGGGAGTTAATTCATTAAAAAGGTCACACTGTATGTCTTAAAGAAACCTGTTGTACTTCTTAAGTCCAATAAACAAATAATAGGCAAATAAAGGTTTTGGACCTCTTCCAATTTCGAGAGAGAGAGGAGAAAACAAAGACAAACGATGTGACTTTTTCATTGTGTTCAATATAAAGCTTTTCAGGATTCACTGAAAAAAAATTGGATCACGTAGACAACCCAACAGTCAGGGGAAATGCTAAACCAGACTTAATATGTTCTTATAAAAAAACATCATCTAATTACTTGGTAATGTCTTAAAATGTGTTATAAAGTCACATTTCTATTTAATTTTGTGGCACATTTCAAAAATGGTGATAATATAAAGAGTTGCTTTTGGCTGCAGATATGCAAATATAATCTCACTGAAATCAATGGAAGTATCATGTGTCATTCCACTGAACAAGAAATATTTATCCATTTTGTGCCAGGATTGTAAACTCACTTTAGTAAACACTATTTGAAACACAATATCCCAGCCCTTGCGTCAGTCAGGTACCACAAACCACAGCGGCACATAGGCTCCAAATTTAGCCTCTAAGAGCCCTAGCCACCAGTCAGCTCTTCTCACATTATTAGCTTATGCATGTCACAATATAATTCCCTTCTTCTTTCTTTGACTACTAACATGGAATTTGCTGGGCCTTCTTCTCTTACAGCTACTATTCTGCCATTATGGCAATCCATAGGTTTTTCACTTCCTAGCTGTTGCCACCTCTTCCTCTTTCCGGTAAAGCAGAAAATTGTATATATATCCCTCATTGCTTTTGGGTGAACAATATTCTATCCCTAACACCAAATAAAAAAGTGTTTGGATATTGTCATGGATCCATAGCTGGTGTGCTGGAGACACCAGAACACCTCTGTGCCATGACTTTCATAGGCAAGGTCAAGGAATGAAAACATCTGGGACCCTGAGCAGGAAGGAGCCTGATAACATGAACTGGCTCAAACTGGAAGGCATAGATGTTGGACAGGAGTTGAGGGGGTGGAGTTTTGGGAATTGAAACTGAGAAGTTGCCTGTGGAGTTTTTTTATTCATATCTTTGCTATATAGTGGTGACCTAGCATTAAAGAAATTTCCAACATTTCTTTGTGAGTGAATTTAATTGCTATCAAGTTTCTGCAATCATATAAAGTTACAAATCAATATCTGCTTTTCCTGACCTCAATTGGTGAGAGTCAACCAATCAACAGTAATGTCGGAGAGGAGAGATCACAGCAAAGGCAAGGGCGAGTCACGTCCCTCTTGAAAGGCAGCAGGTCTGACAAAAATTGAAAAACAAAATCCCCAGAGCAGCAACCAGATAACGTGGAAGAAGAAACTGAGTTAATAAAACTGAATTATGTACAAGTGAAAGAAGCCTGGGATTTGTTCATAGAAGGTGAAAAAACTGAGCCAACATGGCCCGTCCCAGAGAGCCAAAAGCACAACATCAGGTTGTGGGAGATCAGACTTCCTTTGATCCCTAAAGCGGAAGGAGCCCCTGTAGAGGCTCAAAGAAACCCCTCAATGACTCGGTACCTTGAAATCTAAGGTAAAGTCTATGGATACAATGCTCCAAAATATTTCCCTAGCATTGAGGGTAAAGCATTTGAGGTTGGAAGAAATGTCAGCAGAGGAGTTAAGAACATGATCTAGGCAGTCAGTCTCTTGAGCCTATGGTCATTGTGCTGGACCTTCAGAGACAGTGAAGAGAATTGAAAGTGAAGTTCAAGGGAGACCCACAGCAGTTGTCATACTTTCTCACCAAGGTGCGTAATTACATGCAAGACTATAGAGACACTTTCCCCTCGGAAGATGTAAAAATGCATAGTGTGGGTGCAAACCTGAATGGGGCCCAATTATATGCCAAGCTATCAAAGTGAGAGTTCTATAAAACAGAATTAAATTATCTAACCTTCCACATCTCCAAATATGAAGTTGGAATAGACCCTATCAAAGTACAGGATGTGTATTGGAGCTCAGCCTGTGATTGTATTGAAGGACCAGGGTGCTTTAGATGTGGGGAGTGATGACAATGAGTTTCAAGAAGGTAATGGTCTGGTCAATGATATTGAAGCAGAGAATGACCAGGAGATTGCTGTTCAAAGTGTAGTTTCTCATGAGAATGTCCCTGAAGGTTGTGGGGATGCTGGTGTGCTCCCTGAATTGCTACCATAGAATTCCCATGATTTAGAGCTTGAGAACAGCTCAGCACCTGGCCCAGCTGCAGAAATTAATGAGCAAATAGATAGACAGGATGTGATTAGTCAAAACAGAAAAGCTGAGCAGTGGCTCAAGCGTTTTTTGTTTTTGTTTTTTAATTTTATTATAGAAGTTTCTGTCTTTGTTTTTCATGGACTTTGATGTACTAATACCCTGGACTATTTTGTTCCGGCTTATCTTCCCACTTAATTGGATTTACCTATTCCTTTAAAGGGCCTTTTAATTTACTGCTTTTTAATTATCTTCAATTAACGGGTTGCATTTCTGCTCAATTGTGTGATGTTTAAAGTCAGAGGGCTTTTCCTAGTCTGGAGTGTTGGAGTGTTTAGTCAACAATTTTGGTGGCCCAGGCTCAGAAAAGACGTCAAAGCCTATGTATAGGAATTCCCCACTTGTGCTAGAGCAAAACAAAAGCCAGGCAAACTCCAAGCATTGTTACAGTCAGTGGCTGATCCAACCATGCCGTAGAAGCAGATTGCCATGGATTTTATTGTTGAATTGCTTGAGAGCAAAGGCAATACTGCAATCTGCATAGTTATAGATTTGGTTTTCAAACAAGCACATTTTGTATCACACAAGCAAACTCCAATTGCTCCACAATTGGCCAAACACAATTTGCGGCCAAATATGGAAAGCCTTCCTAAAATTATTGGTCACACAACTGGAATTGAGACTGGCCTTTCAGAACAGCAGTACGAGCAGTTTCTGTGCTGTTTTTTGAACTACCAACAAAATGACTGAGTCAAGTTCCTCCTTTTTTCAACTAAATATTCAAAAGCAGTCCAATCTTAAAAGAAAATAGCTCCAAAATGTGTTGGTCCTTATCCTATCAACAAAATCATCAACCCAATAACTGTTCAACTTTAGTTGCCTCACAATCTAAAATGGGTACATTCCATGTTCCATTGAAATCTGCTAAAACCAGCCTCTTATCAGTCTGCTTGGCATCTCCAAGATACCTGACCCCATTTTCATTGATGGACAATAGCAGTTTTCTGAATCAGCGCCCCAAATAACCACAGAAACACATCTAAAAACCAATGCCTATATACACTGCCACATAAAATCCAGATTATCTGTTTTGAACTGGATTATATGGCAGTGAAGACTCAGATAATCCAGTTCAAAACATTAATCTGAAATGATATACTAGTTTATATGGTTGTTTAGATAGAGGCTGGATCTACAGTGCCATATAATATATATTTATTTTTGGTTGGGCTGTGTTATCATCTTTTCTAGTGAGCCATCTCTTCACATGATATGGGCGTGTATCCCATTCTACTCTGGGGAGCTGGAAAACCCTCCAGATACAATTTAGGGTTACACAAAAAACTGCAGTAGGAAAGGAAAATAAAGGAAGTGTCATCTGCTAGTCATCAAACATGAACATAACATTAATTCTTGTTTGAACAAATCTAAATCATAGAGGTAAATCATTCTTATTTCAGAAAAAAATATTGTATCTTACAATCTGATGGAAATTAGCTTTGCATTATCAGCAATTAAGATAATGTTCCAGTTATTTTGACATGAGAAACGGCGGTATACAAGCACAGTAAGAAATAAATAAATAAATAAATGATATAAATGTTAAGTATAGATATGCATCAGTAAACAAAATTAGATTGTTAATGTTACTAATTTTAGCAGAAAATTAGGTACCAGAGGCAGGGCCGTAGCCAGAAAAAAATTTCGGGGAGTGTGGAAAATTTCAGGGGGGGGGTGAAAATTTCGGGGGGGGGGGGGTTGAAACCTGCCTCCTAGCTACTGAAGCAAAGAGCACAGCAGGGGGCAGAGCAGCCTTCAATAGCCTGCAGCTCCGCCCCTGTCAACCACCTCCACCAAGTCTGGCCTCCTTAATGAGAGCATTCAACACCTCCCCCCCAACTTGGTTGCTTCCCTACATCGGCTATTGCTGCAAATAATGACAATGTGAATAAACTGTCAATATTTGCTTGGGATAGTGCTTGCAGTTCTGGAGGGACTCTTAATTTTTTGCATCTCATAGACTTAGCATGGGGATTTGGTTAACCAGTTAAAATTCATGAGTAAACCAGGTTTTTTTTTACCTGAAAATTTTCGGGGGGGGTTGAACCCCCCCCCCCCCCCCCGGCTACAGGCCTGACCAGAGGCAAAAATAACATAGATTAAATTGCTCCAAATGAATTCTGATGCCACAAGCAAGAAAAGTGTGCTTTAGCACACTTTTTAAAATCAAAATTGAACAATATGCTTATTAGAAATGAATGAATAAAGTCAGGTAAACCTTCCATCAAGCTTATCTGCTTTCCTCATTTCTCTTTGGCTGGATCGACACTGCCCTATACCCCAGGGTCTGATTAAAGATTGTCTGCTTTTAACTGGATTATATGAATCTACACTGTAAAATAATCTAGGATAAACAGATAATCTGAGGTCAAATCCTGGTATATAGGACAGTGTAGATCAAGCCTCTGTTTTACTGTTCACATATGCTCAGTGAGGCCCCAACACTGCCATATAATCCAGTTTCTGATCCCAGATTATCTTCTTTGAACTGGATTATATGGCAGTGTAGACGCATATAATCTAGTTCAGATAATCTGGGATTGGATACCAGATTATATGCAGTGTAGATCCAGCCTAAGGTATTCTACTTGCCTTTCCTGCTGCAAGTAGACACACCCAGGCCCCATCTACACTGCTATTGAAAATCCAGTTTATCCACTTTCAACAAATAATCTCAATTATCAGCTTTGAAATATGGATTATATGACAGGGTAGATCCAGTCTCATCTATAATGATAAATGGTTAGAGTGGGACCCCATTTTTTTCCAAGTTCAAGTTTTATTTACTGTTTATTTAACATTGACTATCTCTGTTTCTTTTTAACCATCCTTCCAAGACTAATGCTACAAAAATAATAATCCAGCTCCCTTCTAGGGAGACAGAGAACGAGAAGGAAATGGAGGCAACTGGGCATAAAAAGATTTTATAAAACAGAGCTTCTGACTGAGATGTGTCTGGAAAAGTCTTTCTCTACATTCCCTCCTGTTACAACAAAAGAGTTAAAGCAAGAAAATTAAAGATGAAGTGGATTAGTTTAACTTGAGAGTTTGTTTCTTTTTAAAGTAACTAACAAATCCATATAATTTTATTAAAAGAGGTGCCTTTTTTCCTGAGGAAGCAGTGCTTCACTTTATGTTCCCAATAAAAATAAACCTATTCCCGGTTGATGGTTTTATGGCTGCAATTTATCAGGTTAAGGGGGCATTCTTTGGAATCCGCTTTGTCAGATTGTTTAATTATTGCAAATTGAACAAAATAATTCCAAAGCCAAGGCCATTTTGACAGTGATAGATGGAAAAGACCTGACCAGCCTGACACCTTATCAACCCATGCGTTTAGTGATAATAGTATATCTCTGGTTTTATCTTGTGCAGCAATTCAGTGAGCAATTTATATTAAACAGAGCATGTTAATATTCCTACCAGTGTTTGTTATTTTGAAGTGATGCTTCTGTTTTCAATGGGATAGAATGGGTTTATGCTGTTATCTTTATGGTATTGGAGTATTGAATATTGATATTTACTATAGGGAGAAAGTTTTCAAATGGGAAGGGAAAGTGCACCCCCTTATTTAATGTAACTCCGGGCCCTTCCACACACTCATATAACCCAGAATATCAAGGCAGATGATCCACAATATTTCGTTGGAATCAGGTAATCTGAGTCCACACTGCCATATAATCCAGTTCAAAGCAGATAATGTGGGATTTTATACAGCTGTGTGGAAGGGGCTTCCATGACTCATTGCTATGGAATCATGGGGGCTACAAGGTCTTTAGCCTTCTCTGCCAAAATGTGCTGGTGACTCACCAAACTATAAATCCTAGAGTTGTACAGCAGGAAACGTGGTGTCAAACTGCATTAGTTCTACAGTGTATATGCATCCTTATGACACCGAAACAGGAGAACCTGACCACATTAGAGATTTCTACATGAACTGAAGAATTGAATAGTCAAATCCCTAAAATTGGAAAAAGTATCTGTCCTATACAGTTGTATCTGTATGATACCATTTCAACCAGGATCCAGAAGTTTCATCCTTTTGAATCCTGGAATTTGTTGCCTGTTGAGCTACTTAGAACTCCCTGAAATACAGCTAAAGCTCTCTTTCAGGTGAGTGCACTAATGCTTTCTTATCAAGAATTCTAACAATGAGCATCGGGATTCCATAAGATGGAACCATTATACTTTTTTAAAAAGTTTTAAACGATATAATCATACAATGTGAATGAATTCTGTGTCAGCCATTGCGTCAGAGTCCACCAAAGACAACCAAGAAATAGCAACCTAATGGAAAAAATTCTCCAAAGAAGGGTCTCTCCTTCAAAACTAATGTTTTCCAGAACTTGCTCATCCATACAAGTAATGCATAATAGACATGTGTGCAAAATTCGTTCCTTCCATTTCTACCATTTCTTTTCTGTCTTTATTCTGAAGCACGAAACTGGAAGCCCCCTCCCCACACAATAATCTGCTCAATATGAAAGCCTGCTTTCATGTGCATCTGAACTTGCCTCTTTGACTTGGAAAGAGAGTGCATTTGTGGCAGGGTGTGCAGACAGGCAGGGCCAGAGCCCGGAAAGTACATGTTTGGTAGGGCATGCAGGCAGGCCTGGAAAATGTGCACACCTGCCAGTGCCTACAGTCAAGTGCCTCTTACTCTAGAGTAGAAACAGCAGGTGCCAGATAAGAAGAATGAACGCTGAGAAGAGGAGCCAGTGGGTGGGACCCCCTTCCCAATAATGGTCCAATTTTCGGGCCCCGAAATGAAAGGACCAAAAACAACACTCCCAATTTTGGGAAACTTACAAAAAACTAATCAGGGCCCCTGACCTAAGCCAGGACATGAAATGGGACAAGGTCCCCAAATACACATACCTAATGCAAAATGTAGAAGGATGGTAAGAAATAATTGTTAGACTTCCTTCAAGGGTCTTCTTTTTCTCCTCATAGGGAAGGAGAAGTTATCCGAAAAACCGCCTTATAGCAAATTACCTGATTCAAGCTATCTAATGTTCTTGAAATCTAGCGTAACTCTTCCTGTCCTCTGATCCCATAAACCTCAGAGATCTATTCTGCCACATGGAGCTGTGCTTCTATTCAAAGTAAGATAACATTCAACAACAAAAAGCAGTGAATGCTATAGTCAAAATGAACCTATCCCCTTTTCACAACCCTCAAGCCCCTTCTAAATAGCCCTTTATTCCAGGATCTGCTTTATGTTTTAAAAGCACTATTGCAAGCTTTTCTGACAGCCTTTTTGTCTGAAAGGTGGGGTACAAATACTCTAAATAAACAATATTTTGTTTTATGATAATTTGTGATAGTATTTTCAGATACTCAACAAGTGGCCATTGTCATAATAGAGAAAACACCAGAGATGCCAAACCAAAACTAGGCAGGATTATATGAACAAAATAATGGAATCAAACCATATATAACATATAGAATGCTATAATAAAATAATATACAAAAAACACATACAAGATACAGAATAATATAATCAAAACCAATATGAAATTCAACAGATATATCTATTTCAACCAAAAGTTTTTTTGAAGTGTAAAGAATATTTACAGCAACCAGTTATGAGAGCAAATCTTTATCTCATAAATACTTTCAGAACTGTTTGCTATAAGTATTTTCATATATTTCGAATAAATTTTTATCATGGTTATTCACTATATGTCTTAATGAGGAAGAGTTCTGAGATACTGATTCACCTACACAATTAATCAATTAGGATGAAGAACTAATGCTGTCATATTAAGTGGGGCCCCATCTACACTGCCATATAAAATTCAGATTATCTCCTTCAAACTGAATTATATGGCAGTGAAGACTCAGGGCCCTTCCAGACAGGCCCAAAATGCAGGAGCTGTCTTGCTTTTACCGATGGCATCCAAATGATTGGAGGCATCCACATTAAAAGCAAATAAATATGGAGTAAACTGGGGTTTAAAAGTTTGCTCTGCATTAATTAAATACCTTATCAGATCCAGACCTTAATGAAAGATCCAAGTATGATGAGGTATTGGGCCTTTGATGTGTTCCACGATTCTGGAGGCCAATCTCCAGAGCTATCACACACTTTTGGGCTTCTGCAGTCCAAAGGTGTGAGAGGGAGCCCACTCCCACCCCTCCGGCCCCCCATTTGGGCCCCAAAAGTTACCAAGAAGCTTGCTGGCAGTGCAGACCTCTCCTTATAATCCTCCTGGCACAAGAAAATGGCACATCTGGAGGTGGAGGGAAGGAGGCATCCCCACCCCATGCATCATTTTCTTGTGCCAGAGGACTGTAGGGAGAGGTCTGCACTGTAGGTAAGACTCTTCAGTAAAAGTTTTGGGGCCCAAATGGGGGACTGGGGAGGGCTGGATGCAATCATGATTTGACTTGGGATGGCATGTAGCTACCTCCTAGTGAAAGAACGGGATTTTGGTTGGGTACTAGAACCCATGCAGAAGTGGTGTATTTTAACCCATTTCTACATAGGTTTTAGCCCTGTCTGGAAGGGCCCTCATATCATCCAGTTCAAATGAGATAATGTGGATTATCTGATTTGATAATCTTGATTTTATGTCAGTCACTGGGAATCCTTAAAGTAGGACTAACACTCAAGTAAATAAATGTAATTGTAACACACTTAGTAGAAATTACTAGATGAACAATTTCCCATCAAAAATATGCAGAATTACTGTACATCTTGTACTTAATTATTTCTATCCATTAAGCTTTTGTTGCTGTTTCTCTTAGAAAACATAAGATTACGTCAATACATACCTTTCCAATTTTTCAGAAAGATTATCTGCAGAATCTGCGGCAGGGATCTGATAAATATCTGATAATTCTAGGCGCTGTCTGTAACCCTTTTTCAAAATAGGCTTGGTCCACCTAATAAACAATAGTAAGTTTCTCAAGTTAATATTTAAATATATAAAATACATATACTACAACAGACAAAAAAAACTTCTCTCACATAACCAATTCTGATTAAAAAATCTTTTACTTTCTCAGAAAACAACTAATTTATTCCTCAATGAAAGAAATGTCAAAATGCTGAAGTCTTTAGTCTCATAATTCTTTGGATCTGAGACATACTATTCCGCAATTTTATAAATAAAGCATGATATATGATGAACAGTTATGCAGCTGAAATGTTTGTGTGGATTGTAATGTTTTAGGATGAATTTACTAATTTCTGTTGGCAGTACTGAAATTAGTAAGTGTCTTGCAATCTATGGTGTCTTTGAATGGATAAAACACAGTATATTATTAAGATTAAGAGAAAAATATATGGCCAGCTCTCAGCACTCTCTGGAGTTAGGATTGCAGGACTCCCACAAAAGTGGAAAAATCATAAATAAAAAACACATTTTTTAAAATCCTGAGAGAACACTTTTCTAGGAATCAATGGGTCCTTCTGTTTGGACAACCTCTAGCAGACAGGTCAATATCTGCTAGAGGTTGTCCAAACAATCACCCTGGAGCACCTACAAATCATCATCATCATCATCATCATCATCATCATCATCATCTTTATTTATACCCTGCCACCATCTCCCCGGAGGGACTCGGAGCAGCTCACAAAAGCACTCTAGGTTGCCACACATAAAATAGAAATACATAAGCATAAAAACAGTACAACATACATTTAACCAAATATAAGTGCTTGGGAAAGTGTCATCTCGAGGATTCTGTAGGTCTTCCTGCATAACTCGATGGTAACACTAAAGAAACTAGAGATTCCAAGAGACATCATAGTAATCAAATCTGCAAAAGTTAAATCCAGGAATGTGGAGGTCTAACTGTACTTTAAAACAATAAAAGAAACAAGAACAGTCCTCGAAATTTCAATGATGCACAGAAAATTGAGACTACAAAATTCATAACGTTTAGACAGGGGGACAGTCCACCCAGCCCTATATCCCCGAGTAATTGATTTAACTACAGAGAAACTTTCAAGTTTATGCCAGAAGCAGAAATGTCAGAAGCAGAAATGCATCACTGGTCCCATCTGCACTGACACTTAATGCAGTTCAAAGTCAGCTTCAAGCTGTGGCAGTTAGCCAATGAACAAAAGCACACAAAAGAAAGCCTTTATTGCACATCAGTGCTCTATGGTTTGTGTAATCATCAACCAGGCCTCAAACTGGTTCCAAGATTTCCTATGTAATCATCTGTACAGCGAAACCACTTTCTTCAATATTGGTTTGAAACTGATTTAAGTCGTCAGTGTACATATGCCAAGAGGTACCTTTCGTTTGACTTTGGAAGGAGAGATGATATCCCAACATAGCTAAATGAAGTGAAGATGTTAGATTTAGCACTTGGTTTGCAAAGGGTTTAAAGCTTTGACTCCATCCTAGTCCCAGTTAGAATGCCTCTCCTTGCTGTTCGTAATGAGATCTTGGGACTGGTAGGGGTTTTTGGAGCACCACTAGCTTGCATTAGAGGTGTTCGCAGTGGCTGGAAAATTCTGGGAGCTATAGACCAAAACACTAACTTTCCCAAGATCTTTCTTAATATGTGAAAAGCTTCCAGATGTGGAAGGACATAAATAAAGTTTTGTTGTTGTTGTTATTGTTTTTGTTGTATCCATTGCAACAGTAAGGACCTCATCACATTGAGGAAGAGAAGCATTTTTTTCTGCACTGCCAGCAGGCTGCCAGCACAGAATTAGCCAGAGTGCATCAGACAATGCAGGTTTACTTCTGGTGGGGCCTCACTGGGTCAGCAGCACAGAGAAACGGAGCCCATAGGAGCCAGGTGTATACACAACTCCTCATAGAAGAAGCAGGAGAGGAAATGGGAGGAAGCTGTGGACAGCACAGAAATATCATAAGAAGAGATCACACAGCCCTCCCATGACCCACGATAGTAAGGGAACAAAGCATGACACTGCCCCACAGTTTCTCCCGCTGTCCCCTGCTGTCCTTCAGCTTCTTGGCCTCAAAGTGATTAAATCCTTAGACTACCTCAATTCACGAGTTCGGTGACATCTTTATATTGCATATCTACAGAGTGGTTAATTGAATGTACATAATCACTGATGTACCTTGGCTGTTTTGTAATATGATGATATAAACAATACATAATATTAATTCAGGAGATAATGCCATTAATGTAAGGGAGAAAACAACCAGCATTTACCGTACCAATTTCTGTTTCTTATTCTTGTACCACTGGCAAATTCATTTGTCAAACACCACATCCATACAGTGGGAAGTAGAGTTGGTCTGTAGTGCATTAGATTAGCACATGTCTCCAAATTACTGGCTGACATTTAAAGGAACTCTTTAATGGAAAAAAAATGTAGTGCCGTCAGAGTCTTGCCAGTGACTAAGGACGTTATTATGGGCACAAACTCAGAAAACCCAACAGGGAACAAGGGTGTTATATAGTTAAAAGAAGGAAAACAAGTTCCACCTCTTCTTTTCATTGCCTGGTAACAAAATACATCTTATAAGAATGATACAAGGCTCCTACGTTCACAGGATATTGTCTTAACTTTTCTCTTATTTGTTCTACAGCTATGATTTTTTTCTTTAAAACATTTACTTCCTTTATTTTTGCCTGTTCCAGATTTTCTCAACTTCCATCCAAAACAAAAGGGGTCCTTCCATATAGCCATATAACCCAGAATAATCCACAATATCTGCTTTGAACTGGATTATCTGAGTCCACACTGCCATGGATTTTATAGTTGTGTGGAAGGGGCCATAGATACTAGAATGAGGCAGAAATCCAAGCCTTCTTCCAGGGATCTAGAGGAGAGATGACACCCCCTCCCCTCTGAAATTATCAGGTAAAGTTGATCCATCAAGACTACTTTGTAAGGTCCTTCCACACAGCCATATAACCCAGAATATCAAGGAAGATAGTCCACATTATCTGCTTTGAACTGGATTATTTGAGGTCCCTTTCATATAAAATCCACATTGAACAGGATTATATGGCACTGTGGACTCAGATAACTCAGTTCACTGCAGATATTGTGGATTATCTACCTTGATGTTCTGGATTATACGGCTGTGTGGAATGGTCCTTGGTAGGATCACTGCATCTGTTCTCTGAGGCAACAAGAGTAGTTCCAAAACTGATGACTCCTAAAAATGCCAGTCAAAAAGCATTTCCCGCTTTAATAAATTCTCTTTGGCAAGGAAAAAATTGAAATAGAAATGGGAAATTCTTTGTTATTAACTGTCACCAAACCAGCTTCAGTTTATGAATGAGGAACTTCCCAGTGCCCTTCCAGACAGGCTCTATATCCCAGGATCTGATCCCAGGTTTTTTGTTTATCCCAGATTATCTGGCAGTGGGGACTCATATAATTCAGTTTAATGCATAAAACCTGGGATCAGATCCTGGGATATAGGGCCTGTCTGGAAGGGTCCCAAGATGCTCCGTCATGAACTGTCCTTCATAGGTCTTACAAACTCAAGAATATAGGTTTCTTGATAGAATCTTTATTGTCACCTTTAATGAAGTCTTCCTCTTTTCCTCCTAACTTATTAAGCATGATAAACTGTACTAATGCTTCATTTCCTCTCACAATTGCCTCCGTTTGGTCAATTTGGTCTTCTAGGAAGAATGTGGGCTTGATTTGCTGTAGGACCCATTTAGTGATATTTTTGGTGTCTGTAAAACTCTCCTCCAGTACCACATTTCATACAGTTCAGAAGGATATACTAGTCAAGTATTTTACATAGAAGAATACAAGCTGCTACTGGGAATTCCAACTGCCCCCAGGAATGGGAAAACCCAGAGCCGGGGGGGGGGGGGGGGGGGCGATGAAGGCCCTTGGGCTCTTTTCTCATACCCTCCTGTCTCTCACCATCCGATTCTTCCTTTATTTTCTCTTTCATTCCTACTTCCCTCCCTCACTCCCTTACTTCCCTCTTTCTTTTATCCTTCCTTTCCTCTTTCCTCCCTCCTTCCTTCTCTCCCTCTTTCTCCTTCCTTCCTTCATTCCTTCCTTCTTTTCCTCCCTCCTTCCTCTTCCCTCCCACCCTTCCTTCTTCTTCTTCCCTCCCTTCCTCCATTCCCTACCACCCTTCCTTCTTTTCTCCCTCCCTTCCTCCATTCCCTACCACCCTTCCTTCTTTCCATCCTTCTTTTTCTCCCTTTCTCCCTTCATTGCTTCCTTCTCTTTTTCCTTCTTCCTTTCCTCCTGGGGGACGTTGAGCTGAGAGAAGAGAATGTAGATTACCCTTGAGGAGACAGGGTGGGTTATAAATATTAATATAAATATATGTAAATATAATAATAAAAACATTGTTGTTGTTGTTGTTGTAGAGAGGTAACATGAGAACCATGTTTCAAGATTTAAAAGGGTGCCCCATTGAGGATGAGGAAAGGGGAAACTGATTTTCTGCTGCTCTAGAGACCACAAGGGAACAATGGTTTCAAATGGCAAGGACAGAGGTTTGAATGAAAAGATTAGGAAGAACTTCCTGGAGAGTGGCATAGACTGCCTGGGAGTATGATGGAATCTCCTCTGGAAGCTTTTCCACAGAGACTGTCTATCAGGAGTGCTTTGATTGTGCCTTCCTGCATGGCAGGGGGTTTGGACTAGATGGCCTTGGGGGTCTCTTCCAGCTCTAGAATTCTAGGATTCTATAGCAAGAGTAGGCAATACGGAAACACTTTTTCCTCTCCTGTCCACCATCTCATCCTAACTAACTCTTTTGGGATCCAAACGTTTCCGTCTTTCCTCCTGGACAGCCCACTCTGCTCCGGCCCACCATGCGGCTCCCAGGTTAGAAAGCTTGCCCATGCCTGTCTTAAGCAATGTTTTACAAATGGCTACTAAATCTGTCATAAAAATCAGATGTTGTACAGGCTAATCTAAGTACTAAACCACTGGCAAAGATGCTACAAAAATACAAGGA